TTTCTATTCTGTTTCCATTTTTGTATCTATGCATTATATCTTTTTGTGCCAGCACCAGACTGTTTTGATTGCTAAAGTTTTGTAATATAACTTGAAGTCTCAAATTGTGATACCTCCAGTTTTGTTTTTCTTTTTCAAGATTGCTTTGGCTATTCAGGGTCTTTTGTGGTTCCATACAAATTGTAGGATTGTTTGTTCTAGTTCTGTGAAAAATGCTATTGGTATTTTGATAGGGATTGCATTAAATGTGTAGATTGCTTGGGGGTGGTATAGATATTTTAACAATATTTGTTCTTCCAACATCACTCATCATCAGGGAAATGCAAATCAAAATCACAATCAGATATCACCTTACACCTGTCAGAATGGCTAAAATCAAAACCACAAGAAACAACAAGTATTGGCGAGGATGTGGAAAAAGAGGAACCCATATGCACTGTTGGTGGGAATGCAAACTGGTGACAGTTATCGAGGTTCCTCAAAAAATTTAAAGTAGAACTACCTTACAATCTAGTAATCGCACTACTGAGTATTTACCCAAAGAGAACAAAAACACGAAGTTGAAGGGATATATGCATTCCTATGGTCATTGCTGCATTATTTACAAAAGTCAGACTATGGAAACAGCCCAAGGTCCATTGATAGATGAGTGGATAAAGAAGAGGAGGTATATATACACAGTGGAATATTACTCAGCCATAAGGAAGAATGAAGTCTTGCCATTTGCAACGACACGGATGGAGCTAGAGGGTATTATACTAAGTGAAGTAAGTCAGTCAGAGAAAGACAAATACCACATGATTTCACTCATATATGGAATTTAAGAAAGAAAACAAACGAACAGAGGAAAAAAGAGACAAACCAAAAATCAGACTCTTGACTACAGAGAACAAACAGATGGTTACCAGAGGGGAGGTGGGTGGGGACGGGGGAAAGAGGCAATGGGGATTAAAGAATAGTTATCTTGATGAGCACTGAGTAATATATGCAAGTGTGGAATCACGATATTGTACACTGAAACTAGTATAACACTGTGTGCTGACTACAGTGAAATTAAAAAAAAAAAGGATATAGGACAGTAGAAAAGAAAAGAAAAATACAGCTGTTATGGGGTCTTGGCTTTCTGGGGGAAATGACAAGCTGCACTGGTTTTCAAGTCAGTTTATACAGTCGAGTTGAGTCTTGCACTCTGACCTCTTGGGTTGAATAAAACGCACCATCACGTAGTCACGTGCGTGCATTTTCCCAAGGCTACCATGCATGGGAGGCTGTGCTATGACCCGGTGCCCAGCTCTGTCATGCCTGGGCTGTTTTTGCAGCATGCAGAGTAGGTTAGGGCCACATGACCTGGGCGCTCCTCTGGCTCTGTCACTCATTGGCTCTGTGACCCTGGGCAAGGTACCCTCAGTCTGAGCACCTGTAAATTGGGGCTAACAATATACCTGTGCTGTAGTGTTGTTGGAGCATTAAATGAGGTACTAGATAGGAAACCATGAGTGCGCCATAAATGTGACCCCCTATTTATCAGAGCAAGGACTTAAACTTTTTTCCAAAAGTCTTAAAAACTGGTTTGCTTTAAAAAATGCCATTTTTGAAATGAGCAAGGCTGGCAATCATTGCTTTGTTTGGCATGAAAGCACACCCTTTCCCGGAAGAGTGGGAATTCTGGTTCCAGGCGTAAAGATTTAGGAAGGGTCCTGCCTGCAGACAAACGCGGGGGTCAGAGCTGGATGGGCTCAATCCTAAGGTTTTGGAGTGGCTAGAACCCCAATCTTCAAAGGATTTCCCCTCCAAAGTGGTTCTGCTGTGTTCTTCATCTCAAGCTGCTTTTCTCCAGCATTAAAATTGCATGTCCTCACATGAACTGTGATGTTTTAAAGCCCTCGCATGTGGACTTGTTCTGGGTTCGCTCCCCTTCCCTGTTGCCCCCCCTTGTAAATTGCATCTAGGCTGGAGGACAGAGCAGAGACCACAAAAACTTTTCATGTTATCTCTGAGTATTTTAAGATATGATGAGCAACTGAATGGTCAAATTGAAAGTTATAATTGAACCTCATCAATAATTCAGTCACTGCAAGTTGAAGATGGCCCCTTAGCAGAGTGGGTTGGCGAAGGAGATCGCCATCCTGGGCTGGCTATGTCCTACGACCGTTTCAAAGACCTCGCCCAGTTCTCTGCAGCCTGTTACTCTCTGCAGCTTTCTTACACTTTCTACACTTTCATCCCCTGGCCCATTTCCTTTCTGCCTGTGCCCCAGGCTTGGCCCTGGGCTCTCTTTGGGGTCAGACAGAGGTGAAGAGCTCTGGTGTCCCCTCTCAGCGTGCTCTGTCCCAGCAGCTGTAGCACTCCCTTTGGGAGCCGCTGCTGGCACCTGTGAGCGGGTTGTGACAGAAGTCTCTGCCCAGGAGCTGACCATGGACCGCCTGTCACTGGGGGATTCCTGGTGTCAGTTGGCAGCAAGTGTCTTCAGCTCTGTCTCAGTGGCATATTGGGCAGCTTGCAGACGTGACTCCCCCATCCCTGGGACGAGGCGGAGTGGTGAGAGGAAGTGCCAACTAGATCTGGTGTTTCCCCCTTTCCCCGCTTCTGCTTTTGCAGTAGCTGAAGTATGAGTAATCGCATTGAAGCTTCTAACTGCGGTCATTGGCCCAGCTTAACTAAATTGATTCCCAGAGAGAGGAATAGTTGAGGCACACTCTTGTGGTTTCCCGTCACTTGTGGATCATGTGGGATTGAAAGCTGGCCATAGGGGCGCTTGGGTGGCTCAGTTGTTAAGCGTCTGCCTTCAGCTCAGGTCATGATCCCAGGGTCCTGGGATCGAGCCCCGAATCAGGCTCCCTGCTCCGCGGAGAGCCTGCTTCTCCCTCTGCCACTCCCCCTGCTTGTGTTCCCTCTCTCATTGTGTCTCTCACTGCCAAATAAATAAAATCTTTAAAAAAAAAAAAGAAGGCTGGCCATAGACCATCTGGGGGATGAGCCTTTAGCACAGACCGTTGGAGCTTTGGATCTGGTGCTTCAAAGGCTTTTCCAGATTATTCGGGGTCTTGTTTTTCTCGATTGTGGATCTAATAGCTCAGAAGCATTTGGGAAGTTTGAGACAGTTGGTAACTCTGTATGCCCCAAACAGCCCTTTTTCACTGGAATTTTAGTAGCTTGGAAACCTCTTTTCTTGCCTACCCTGAGATCTTTTAAAAAATCCCACTGGAAATGTATTTCAGACCAGAGCCTCTCTGATCGTTGGTGGGAAGGGGACCTTTGTCATCAGGGTGGAGGCCTCTAAGCTTGTGCATTCCATTCCTGTGAGCCAGTGGCAGGCCGACGTGGCTGCTGTCACCTTGTCACCTTGACAGACAGCTGGCCTGGCTTTGCTTCCTCTGTCTGCCTTACTGCTCTGAGGAGGTGCTTTGGAAGCATGCCCGAGTTTTCAACCTGGGAGGTCCCACGAGGTGTGATGGCGGGCGCTGCTGCCTGAGGCCCGGCTCCCCCGGCGACCGTGTCGGGCCGGCACCCGAGGCAGGAGGAAGCAGCCTGCCAGGCGGGCCCCCTGTAGCTGTGTCCTTGGCCTCTCCATCCTTCTCCCAGCCATAGTCCCTTTTCTTTCTCAGGCCATGGCTCCTTGCCACCCAGCCTTGCTTTCCTTTTCACGTTGCGCCGTGTTTAGGTTTCTCTGCTTTTTCAAGAACCCCCCCCCTTTCTTTTTGCTTTGACCTTCCTCTCTCCCCTTGCAGGTCCTCGTGCTCTTTCCTTCTATTTTCATTCTGTCCTGGCGGTGTTCTCTGTACTTGCGCTTCTTCATATGCTCGCAGGTGTTGGCATCCCCCAGAGAAGTGGCCCGTGGTCTCGGCATCATTTTTAACCTGCAGCGAGTCTCTTTATGCCACAGCGGTATGCAAGTGTTGGGCTGGTTCACATCCAGTGATTGCACCTGGAAGGAACCCACCTCTGTCAGTTTTATTCATTATGAAAAATCACAAGACGGCATTCAAAGACTTTTAAAATAAACACAGTACTCCCACCTCTCATTCAGGCCTCGCTTTCCCCGCCCTTCTTGCCTTTAGTGGTCCTGTTCTTCTACACGGTTAAGCGTAATTGTGTATTCTTCACTCTGCTCCCTCAGTCAATGGCAGGCTTGAGGACTGCTGTTTTCCCTTCGTGCGGCAAAACACCAACGTGTGTAAGCCTTTAGAGCAGACATTGTAGTGGCTGCTTAATTCCTGCCCCAGCTGAGACCTCCCCTGGGGGACGGCTCGCTGAGGTTGGGAGGACAGGCTGTGGACACAGTGCAAAGTGTGAGGGCTCGGCCGCCAACCAGGCCAGATCCAGACATGGCTTCAGTGAGCCACATGCCCCGAGAGCGGGGGATTACCGTCTCTGAACAGTGATGTCTTGGGGATCTGATGGCTGGAATGTGGAGTGTCTTCTGTGCCGAGCCGAGGACTTTGAACTTCCTGCCCGCCACAGTAGGAGTGGTCACTGGCCAGCCCTCTCCCAGTGGGGGCCAGTCAGTGTGCATCCCTTGGTGGCTGGTGGAGGACAGGATGGGTGGGGACGAGATCTGGGGCAGAGAAACCAGTCTGAAGCTTGCGTGTCTGGTGATTCGTGATGACATGCAGAAACTTCTGTTCGGATTCTGGAACCAGAGAACAGTCTCAGAGGAGAGGGTGGGTGTCTTTTCCCTCTGAGCTCCTGGACGCATTGAAATCCCCTCATTCAGTGAAAGGAAGTCACTTCGGCTGCTGCTGCTTCCTAAATACCAAGTTGTTTGTGTAGAAATTAGGACTTTGAAAGAGCATTAGCGTTTCTCCTTCCCAGACTGAGTAAGTATGTGAGATCTGTGTCTAAAAACAAGCTGCCGTCTGTATAGAGAGGACGTTTAAAGTGCACACATTTTGATTTTCACTGTTGTACATTTTGGTAATGACTCTTTGAGGGGATGACATTTTTTTCTTTTAGGGCGGCGTGTGTCCACTTTTGACCAGTGTCTGTGGTTTTGTTTACAGATTCCCACTGGAAATCCATTATATGAATCTTATTACAAGCAGGTAAGTTTCACTGGCGTCTTTTTGGATTGAATTAGAGAGGGCGTGTCTCGGCAAGCACAAACCTGAGTAGGAGCCCAGTTGGGTCCCTTTCTGTCCTCCAAGTTATCAGCCAATAGCCAGTGGGCTGTGTGCTGCTTTATCTGAGGCCTTGTCTCAAGAGTTGTTCCCCCATTTTAGGTAGACCCGGCATACACAGGGCGAGTTGGGGCGAGTGAAGCTGCGCTTTTTCTAAAGAAGTCCGGGCTCTCAGACATTATCCTTGGGAAGGTACGTGAAGACGGTTAGTGACCTCTCTTCTGAGGCCGCCCTCAAGGCTGCCCCAGTAGGCGAAGGCCAGACCCCTCTTCCAGGGGATGTGCCTCCTGGGGAGTGGGCTGGCCACTGTGAGCCTCTCAGGCTGTAACTGGTGGATATCCCACTTACTGCTTGGGCAGCAGACAAGAGGCCTGAGTGCTTTGGGGATCTTGACAGCTTATGGGTTTATTTTGGCTTTGGAGCCAAGCAGACCTGGGTATTCTCTAGGCTCTGCCACTGACCAGCTGTGTGCCCATGGGGCTGGGGGCAGGTCCTTCACCTGTTGCAAATTTGCCTCCTCACCCACAGCTCAGGAATGGCCACTCCGGCCGACACATAAGGCCCACACGCAGTGGCAGTGGCTCTGTTCTGTGAATAAATGGGCAGGGATTGGCAGTTGCACTCATGAGCATTTTTGTGTTTCCACAGATATGGGACTTGGCTGACCCAGAAGGTAAAGGGTTCTTGGACAAACAGGTATATATATATACATATACACACAGAGCAAGTGGAGGGGCTTGGGCCAGAGCCCCACAGGCTGGGTCACGTCTGCACTTCCTTCCTTGTTACTGCCGCGGACAAGTATTACTAGACATGAGTGCGGCCATGAGACTGTTAACACGGCAAGGTTTCATTTACTTGTGTGCTTACAGGTGATGAAAATGTTTTCAAATCCATCTATTTTGAAATAATTTAAGACTCCTGGAAGTTGCAAAAACAGTCCAGAGAGTTCCGGTGTACTTTCCTCAGCCCCCCCCACAGTGAGAGCTGCTTATGTCACCAGAGCGTGATGCTCAGAGGCCGGCTCGGTGCTAAAGTAGAGGCCTTGCTCAGAGCTGGCTGGTTTTATGTGGACTTTTGGGGGGTTTTTGGCATGTATAGTTCTCTGTAATTTTATTGCACAGATTCATGTAATGACCACCATAGTCATTATGACACAGAACTGCCTGGCCCCCAAAAGAATCTCTCTCGGGTTGCCCCCTGGCAGTCACACCCTAACCGTGGTTAGGTTCCTTCTGGTTCCATCTCCAGCATGATTTTGTCATTTTGAGAATGTTCTGTAAATGGAAATTTATAGTACTTACACATGATTTTAAATGGTCATATTTTAATTTAGTTCAGTTTTTCCCCAAACTATGTCCCAAGGGATGCCGTTCCTGGTGTCCTACTGTCCATGATCTGATCCGCTGGGAAAGCACCATCAGCTCTTCCTCCCTTCCTTGAGATTCACACTGTACGTCTGCACGTTGAAAGAGTCTGAGGACCTTGTGGACGAGAAACCTGTTAACTTTGTCTAATGCAGTTCCCAGAAACTTTCTTACATCCCCTTTTCTGTACACTCCACTCAGGCATTCTGTGGACATCAGTCTGAGAAAGTCCGATCTAGCGCGCGTGTCTTTGAAGATGTTTTTAAAACTCTGATTGTGTTTATAGCTTTAAAACAGTTCGTGTTCTCAGGCTATTTGATCAATTAAAAAAAAATTAGGTGATGCTCTGTGAGTCCACTAAGTCTGTGGCATGGCCGGCTCTGGGTTAGGAGGAGGGCGGGGAAGAGCAAAGGCCCCTGATGGCCTAGTTCAGGTCCTTTGTCCCTGCATGGGAGGTAAGGTTCATATCGGGCCGGGGCGGAGGGCGGGGGGGCGAGTGGGAGAGGCTATCTTCAGCAAGGCCAAGGGATCACAGTGAATCGTGACAGTCAGTTCCCAAACAACTGTCTATTTCAAACCATTTTTAAAAAGTCAACACATATTTGAATCATCATTTATTTATAATCTTAAACTCTAGTCTGCTGCTTATCTAATCTAGCATTTTCCTAAATGTCGGGAGCTCGTTATTGCTTAAAATACATTTATTTGAGGGGCGCCTGGCTGGCTCAGTTGATAGAGCATGTGACTCTTGATCTCAGGGTCGTGAGTTCAAGCCCCATGTTGGGCATAAAGCTTCCTTAAGAAATAATAAAGGTATTAAAAAATATATTCATTTGAAATTTTGGATTGTCCAGAGTGCAATGGACTGAGTCCATTTGGCATATTCACTTAAACAGTGCTCCCAGGGGGACCTTTTGCACATTGAGTCATTGCACATGACTTTTGCACATTGAGTCTTCATTGTTGCAGTGAAGTGAAATCCCTCTCTCCCAAAGCCCGTGGCTGCAGACAGCTCTCCCCCTGTCATCGCCAGCTGGCTAGTGTTTACACCTCCCCCTTTTTTGGATTTGCAGGGTTTCTATGTTGCACTGAGACTAGTGGCCTGTGCACAGAGCGGCCATGAAGTTACCTTGAGCAATCTGAATTTGAACATGCCGCCACCTAAATTCGTAAGTGTCAAAATCCTTTGGTTCTTCGTGCTCTTCTGGTATCATCTGTTGATCTGTGTTTTTCTCTCTTTTTTTAATCGAGATGGAATTCATATAACCTAAAACTCACCATTTTAAAGTGAACAACTTGGTGACATTTAATACATTCACAGTGTTGTACGACTGGCCCCTCCCTCTAGTTCCAGAACGTTTGCATCACCCCAAAAGGAAACCCTTTACCCAGTTAGTAACCCCTCACGGGATCCCCCACCCCCAGCCCCTGGCAGCCATTCATCTCTCTGTCTGTATGGATTTGCCTGTTGTGGGCATTTTATGGAATCATAGATCTGGCTGCTTTCACTCATCGTAATGTTTCCAGGGATCATCCGCTCCGTAACGGGTGTCAGTGCTTGGTTCCTTTTCATTGCCAAGTCAGACCGCATTCTATGGTCCGTCCATTCCTCTGGTGGTGGACATGACAGTTCGTGTTCCGGGATTTGTTTGCACTCCTGTTTTCAGTTCTTGGAGTGGAATTGCTGGGGCATATGGTAATTCTTGTATTTAACTTTTTGAGGCTTTCGCCATTTTGAAAGCACTTGGAAATGTGTGTCCTTTGCACAAACACGTCCTCTGGAGTTGAATTCCATGCCAGCCACAGCCGAGTGTTTCTTTTCCTTTCCAGCACGACACCAGCAGCCCTCTGATGGTCACGCCGCCATCCGCAGAGGCCCATTGGGCTGTGAGGGTGAGTGACCCCCGGCGGCGCCCCTCAGCCGTCCTCCACGTGCAGTTGTTTTAGCCACTTACGGTGTTCAAAATGCTGCATGGGATGATTGTACCTGGTCTGTTTCAGAGTGAGTTTGCCACAGAATTTAACCAAGACACTCTATCAGATTAAAATCTTTAAATGGCCGTGACCTTTTTGGACATTGCCCTGCTAAGGCAGTTAGCTGAGTTTCAGGCGATGGATTCTTAAAATTTTACAGTTATATTTTGCATTTCTGGGTCATGTTGTGTGGTTTTTGCTGCCTGGGTTGGTTAAACAGGATAGAAGGGCCACTTGTGAGAACTTGCAAGCGTGAAAACCTCTAAGATATCTTCGTAGCTCTCGCTTTTATTTGTAGCCAGTTCATGCGTTATTATTCATTCCTTTCTGTTGCTGTCATTGCTTTTGGAAAAGCTTCTCTCAGTACCTGAGGGGACAACCTCCATGTCCCAAGTCTTTCTAGAAGCAGCAAAGAAAGACACAAGCGATACCCTCTAATAGGATAACCTCTAATAACCTCTAATAGGTACAGAATTAGTCCTAAAGAAAATGCACCTGGGACATGGAGACGGTCCCCAGATACTGAGACCTCCTTACTCCTCAGTTGTAAGGGGATTGTCACATTTCCTCACTTCTAGTTGGCTTAAGTACTAACATTAATAACAGTCTTGCTATAAAATAAAGACCCCCTCCCCCCGCCCCACCTCAAGTACATTTGTCCTGTTTTTACACGGTTTTTCTGTTCCGTCCTTGGAAGGGTTTGGAGAAGGGGAGGTTTGGCCAGGGAGGGGGCAGGAGGCAGCCTCATGTGACCAAGGAATTGTGGAGTCACCTCTGGGAGCAATTGAGCACTTTGCTGGCAGCAATCACAGTACTAAGGAGTTCCTTCTTGGTAGTCCAGTTGCACGGCACCTACTTGGAAAAGAGCTGCTTTGTGGTGGAAAACGATGCCAGAGAGCTCTTAGTCCTTGAACTGTTCCAGTCCCTTTCTGGCAGGGCTGCACTGAGGCCTCCCGAGAAGGGCTGGTGCCAGAGGAGGCTGCAAGGCCTCACATAGGAGGCTGGGCAGGAATGGTTCTGTGATGGGGGCAGACTGTTTTCAAGAGAGATTCAGCCGTTTCAGTCAGAGAAACAGTGACAAAGCTGAAGTGCCAAGTGTTCTTTTCCGTTGGGAGAGCTGCTGGTCTTCAAGCCGGTGGGCAGAATTCGAGACACCCGAGGGGGTCACAGGGTGCTCACCTTCTCGGTGCCTCCTGGGTGCAGTGTCTGTGTGCGCTCTCCTTTCTGTGTTCTTCTTCTCTCTTTTTTTTTTTTTTTTAAAGATTTTATTTATTTATTTGAGAGAGAGAGAATGAGAGAGAGAGAGCATGAGAGGGAAGAGGGTCAGAGGGAGAAGCAGACTCCCTGCTGAGCAGGGAGCCCGATGCGGGACTCGATCCCGGGACTCCAGGATCATGACCTGAGCCGAAGGCAGTCGCTTCACCAGCTGAGCCACCCAGGTGCCCCTCTTATTTTCTTTTTAATTGTGGTAAAATATAGGTGACATGAAGGTCACCATCTTTTTTTTTTTTTTTAAAGATTTTATTTATTTATTTGACAGAGAGAGACACAGCGAGAGAGGGAACACAAGCAGGGGGAGCAGGAGAGGGAGAAGCAGGCTTCCTGCCGAGGAGGGAGCCCGATGCGGGGTCCGATCCCAGGACCCCGGGATCATGACCTGAGCTGAAGGCAGACGCCCAACGACTGAGCCACCCAGGCGCCCCTCACCATCTTGACCATTTTTTTTTTTAAAGATTTATTTTAGAGAGAACGCACGCATGTATGCATGCACGCATGCATGCACGTGGACGGGAAGGGCAGGGAGAGGGAGAGAGAAAATATGCAGACAATTTAGAGAGAGAGAACGCACGCATGCGCACACACATGCATGCACATGGACGGGAAAGGCAGGGAGAAGGAGAGGGAGAGAGAGAATCTCAAGCAGACACCGTGCTGAGCAGGTAGCCCAATGCGGGGCTCGATCCCACAACCCTGAGATCATGATTGGGCCGAAACCAAGAGTCAGACGCTCAACCGACTGAGCCACCTGGCACCCCCACCATCTTGACCATTTTTAAGCATATAGTTCAGTAGCGTTAGGTACATTCACACTGTTGTGCAGCCATCTCCACCATCCATCTCTAGAACTTTCTCATCGCTCCAAAGTGAAACTCTGTCCCCATTAAACACTAACTCCTCCCCGCCCCGCCCCAGCCCCTGGCGCCCACCTGTCTGCTTCTTGTCTCTGAGAATGTGACTCCTCTAGGGACCTCATAGAAGTGGAATCACAGTACCTGTCCTGTGGTGTCTGGCTTATTTCAATCAGCATAATGTCCTCAGGGTTCATCCCTGTTGAGTCTGGGTCAGAATCTCTTGTTTTTGAGGCTGAAGAATATTCCATTGCGTGGATGCACCACATTTTGATTATCCATTCTGTCAACAGATGCTTGTGAGGGTTTCTTAGTGCTCCCGTGGCTCCAGCTCGTGGGCAGAGCGGGTAGTGAGGGGTCTGCTCCCCCCCCCCCCGCCCCGGGTCCAGTCACTGTGGGTTTTATTTCCGGAGGAGGGCAGACTGCCTCTGCCCAGACCCGCCTCACCGACGGCCCCTTGGACACGCCGCCCGCATTTCGTATTTCATAGCGGCCGTGGCTGCTACTTTGTGTTGTAAGTCCCGTCCAGACCTCTCTGTTCATGAGGAGCTTTTATAATTTATTTTCTTACTCTGAGAGGATTTCCTGTTCTTAAAGTTGATTTTGATAATTGCTTGCTTAAGTCTTTGGTTTATTTTTTATATTTGGTTCTTGAGCTCCTTTAGTTCTGTAGATTGACATCCAGATTTAGTTGTTTGTCTTAAAGAACAAAAACCTATTCACACTTGCATCTTTCTCATCCTGGTGAGCTCCTAGGAGGGAGGTAGGGGCGATCGTTGTCTCCCAGGCAGCCCCCATGGTGGAGAGCGAGGCCCATGGCCAGGTCCTGTCTCCTCGTTGACCTTGGCCGCCAAATTCGTAGTTGCCAGGGAGCTGTTTCCTTCAGGGTAGAGGTTCACTCTGGAACTGCTGTAAGACGTCCTGTGCTTTTAGGCAAGGCCAGTGGCAGGTCCTTGCCTGTTTCATTCTGCTTTGGGTCAGAGGTCATTTTAGACTCTCCCACGGGCACCCTTTTGTTACTCACTCAGGCTATCCCTTTCCAACTAGGTGGAAGAAAAGGCAAAATTCGACGGAATTTTTGAAAGCCTCTTACCCATCAGTGGTTTGCTCTCTGGAGACAAAGTCAAGCCAGTCCTCATGAACTCAAAGCTGCCTCTTGATGTCCTGGGCCGGGTAAGTGGTTCTCTCACATCCTGAACTGCTGCTGACTTCCGTCCGCCCCGAGCTTGCTCCCCACGCACACGTATGAGGCTTTACACACGGCCATGCACCATCAGGGGCTTTGTAAGAGCCGACGTGCGTGGAGAACTTGCTATGGTCAGGTTGACTTAGGGCCTCGTGGATGTGACTCACAGCTACTCCTCAGCCTGTGGGAAGATGCTGGTGTGGGCCCATTGCACGCCTGGGGAGGCAGCCTCAGAAGTGAGCCTGCTGCCCAGGGCCCAAAGATGGGCAGAGGTGAGGTTTGGACCCAGACCTGGGATTTCCCCTACCCCGTATGCTTCTGGGGAGAAGTATGGGAGTGTATGTCTAGAACTCTTTGCTTCTTTTCTATTTTTTTTTTTAAGATTTATTTATGTTAGAGAGCGTGAGTGGGAGGGGCAGAGGGGGGGGGAGAGAGAATCTCAAGCAGACTCTGCACCAAGCGTGGAGCCCAACACGGGGCTCAATCAGACCTGAGCCTACACCAAGAGTCAGATGCTCAATTGACTATACCACCCAGGTGCCCCTCTTTTCTATTTTTAATTACTTTTCTTCTGCCTATGAGCTTGAGGTAAAGGTACTTTAAATTCTGCTGCAAGTTTAGAAAAAATTTTATGCATTCTCTTAAAAAAAAAGCCCTTAGTTTTGTTCCTATTAAATACAAGTTTTTTAGATACAGCTTTTTATTCCAGACTGTCTTCCCTCCAGTGAGGTTTGCATCATGGCCCTGTGTGTTTGCTCTGTGCACAAAGCCCAGTTCCACAAGGCTGTCCAACCTGAGTTCCCTGCTCTTCACTGAGAAGGGATGGATGTTGTCATCTGTCTGGACTGGATCACAGGGAGGTGGCAGGCACAGGCCCAGAGCAGGGGACTGAGCATAGTCCCTGCTGCCCCAGGCGACACCTGTGGGTCTAGCTCATGACATTTGGTAGAACCTTTGGGAAAGGTGCAAATTCCTGTCCTTTGGATTCACCTAATAATGTTTCTGTTTGATTATGACTTTTGTGGACACTGGCCCATTTGATAGGACCCAGGTAGAGCCTATCTTAATACAATATTTTGAAAGAAGGCCACTAAGAAATGGGAGTCTCTCAAATCCCTTTGTTCCCTTTTGTCTGTGGCCTGGTGTAGGTGGAGCTCTGTGTTGGGGACCAAGCATCTTTATAAGCCATGAGTTTTAATTGCAGCAGGATGGGGCTACCCCATCCTGCACATTATGCGCGTTTGTCAGTCCTTGCAGAATACCTGATGACTGGATGTAATCCTGTTGTAGAGCCAGATCACGAACAAGGCAGAGAGACTGACAGGTGGAATGTGCTTCATGAGAAAGGGAGCTGTGGCTGGGAAGGGTGCATTCTGCAGATCTTCTGCCGGGCTCCAAGTCTTGTGGCACACGGGTCACTTCTCATCTGCTTTTCTGCACATGCCAGGCTTATGTGCACCCATTCAGGCATGTGCACATGCATCCACATCAATGCACCCATCCACCTGTGCGTGTGTGCTTCCATATCCATGCACTTATCCATACCTCCACACACATGTGTCCACATCCATGCATCTATCCACCTGTGCATGCGTGCATCCACATCCATGCACTTATCCATACCTCCGCACACATGCATCCAGATCCATGCACTTATCCATACCTCCGCACACATGCATCCACATCCATGCACCCATCCACCTGTGCATGCGTGCATCCACATCCATGCACCCATCCACCTGTGCGTGCGTGCATCCACATCCATGCACCCATCCACCTGTGCGTGCGTGCATCCATATCTATGCACTTATCCATACCTCCGCACACATGCATCCATATCCATGCATCTATCCACCTGTGCGTGCGTGCATCCGCATCCATGCACCCATCCATATCTTCACACACGTGCGTTCATAGGCATGCACCCATCCATCTGTGCACCCATCCATCCATGCATGTGTGCTTCCATATTCATGCACCCATCCATCTGTGCACCTGTCTATCCGCGATGCATCAGTGCACTCGTGCATCCGTGCCTCTCTGCTTCTGTTCATTCATCCGTGCTTCCATGCACCAACCATCCATTCAGTCATTCAGGAAGTTTGGAGTCTGCTTGGGGCTAGGCCTTTTGCTGAGCACCGGGAAGATGGGGATGAAATTAGATGTAGTCCAGGAGAGCAAATAAATAAATAACAGTTAGGATCATAATATTTATTTATTGAGGGCTTACTACATGCCAAGCCCCGTTATAGCACTTTGCGTGAATGAAGTCCTTCAGGACTTGAAACCACCTTGTTATGGATGGCATCCCTTCCATTTTCTAGATGAGGAAAAGGGGGACTTCAGAGTGGCCGATAAGCCTCTCAGGGTCTCATGGAGAGGGGAATGAAGCCCTGGGTGGTCCCCAGAGCCCGCCCTCTTCCTGGTGACCCCCTACTGCCCATTGCCTCCCTGATATTGTGGTTCTGCCCAGTGAGGACAGTGGCAGAGGGGAGGTGCCTGACCCACCAGAGCAGAGGGGTACAGGGCAGGCAGGGAAGGCTTCCTAGAGTAGGCACTTCTGGATCGTGTCCTCCAGAGAGAAGAGATGGGTGGCTGACGATGGGATGGGAAGGCCAGGCGCATGACAGCATGAGGAGAGGCGTGTGGGGAGGGCTGGTGTTCTTACCGGGCACTTCCTCCCCCAGGGATGTTGAGCAGTGTCTGGAGACAGTTCTGGTTGTCCTGTCTGGGTCAGGTGTTGTTGGCATCAGGTGGGTGGAGGCCAGGGACGCTGCTCAACATCACTTGGGCCCAGGTCAGCCCCACCACAGAGAGTGATGCAGTCCCGAATGTCAGTGGTGCTGAGGTGGAGAGGCCCTGGGCAGGGAGAGGCGTGGAGCCAGGAAGTTTTGTTCTAGTCCCAATTCCCTGAGCAAGTGCCACGTCTTCGGAAAAGTTACTCTTCAGGAACCTCTGCTTCCTAAATTGAACCCGGGGGCATAAAGCCCTCAGCCTGATGCAGAATGCCTCTGAAAGGTCATCTGTCTGCTTGAAGGGACTGTGAACACTTTGGGCTCCCTGGAGATCAAGGTGGAGTCCCTGGAAGCTGGGCTGTGGTGCAGGGACCTGCGTAGGGCACAGGGGGCGTCATGTGCCAGTCTAGGGGACAGGCTCAGAGTGTATTCTAGAACAGTCCCCATGGTAACCCTGGGGAAAGGATTAGAGGCAAAGAGTCCAGCTGGAGGCTCTGGCCTCTGTGGAGTATTGGAGAGGCCCAAGTCAAGGACAGCAGCAGGGCTGGGGAGGAGGACCTGCCCATGAGAAATGTCCCTGGGCTGATGTCACTCATAATTGAGAGGGGACCAGCACATGAAGCACCATGTTTGGACGCTAAGGTATCTGCTTAGCTCTGGGCACTGGCGCCGTGCCCAGCGTTGTCCGAGTCAGGCAGGCCTGCTGGTTCGGGGTGGGGCTGACTTGGGTCACAAAGCTAGTGCTTTGATTGTACTTTAGAAAATCTGGCACCTGGCCTTTGACCCAGAATAGGAACCTGTACCTGCCTGCCTCATCTTCAGGGTGCCAAGTGGGCCAAGCATACTTGGTGGCACCTGCCTCACCATCCACCAGTGGTGAAGGCACGTCCACAGCCCTGCACAGCGTGAATGGTGGTGGGTGGCTTGTGTTTGGAGCAACACCTGTGCCAAAACCAAAACAATTTTTCTATCTAAGAATTCCTGGTAAGACGATAAAGAGAAAACCAAGGTGGACGTGTTTATAATTATGATCATTTGTTTGAGAAAATGAACATAATATAACAAAAAGGATCTTGGAATTGATGATACTTCATCAGCTAGTGGTTTTTCAGAGAACCCACCAACTGGTTCTCAAATGCATTTTGATTGCCTTGTCTTAACCCTGCTACGCACCGAGCACTCGGAATCTGAGTTCTGGCAGGCATGCTTCCTTCCCCAGTAAGCCTTGCTCTCTTTCCCTTGCAGGTCTGGGACCTCAGTGACATCGACAAGGATGGGCACCTGGACAGAGATGAGTTTGCTGTGGTAGGCCCCTGCTGCGACTCTCTTTTTCCACTCTGCTGAGGAAGGAAATGTTTCTCGAGTCGTGTTTTTTTTTTTCCCTCTGATTTTTAGCAAGTGTTTATTTTGATGTACTTTGGATTTAAAGAAAAGTGACAGTAATACAGAGAATTCTTCTGAATACCCTTGAGTCACATTCCCCAGTGATACTTTTTTACCACATTGCTTGATCCTCCTCCTCCGCTCCTGTCTCGCCATATGCACGTTATGTATACACACACCTAACATTTTCCTTTGAGCCATTTTGGAGTCGGTTGCGGACACCATACCTTTTTGTCCCAGAATACTTCAGTGTATATTTCCTAAAACCAGGGAATTCTCTTACATACCCAGTGTCCAATTCAAAATCAGGAAATTAACATTGACAGTGTCTAATTTATCATACTATTTTGTGTCTTATCGTATAGTTTCTGTGTTAATATGTCATTATGTATTACCTAAGGATATTATTCAGACCTTGCCAGTTGTCCCCAAACCTCCTTTGCAGCAAAGAAGTTCCAGCTTCCTGTGTTACATTCCGCAGCTCCGTCTCTTTTGTGTCCTAGATCTAATCTGGAGCAAGAGCTCCCTTTGTCTCTATGTCTCATGGGTATTTTGAAGAGCGCAGGCCAACAGTTGTAGAGGTCCCTCAGCTTGGGGATATCGGCTGTTTCCTCACGATGATCCAGGTCGTGCACTTGCATGGGGCAGGACCCCACCGAGCTGATGCTTGTTTTTCTTGGGGTCCGTGCCATCTACAGGACCTGTGGTATCTTACCCCACGTTGTCGACACGGTGTCAACCTTGATTGCAGTTGGTAGAGGCTGCGGGTTTCTCTGCAGAGTTACTCTCTTCCTGTGTGCTCAGTCTCTTGTGGGAGACACACGGGGACTGGACCACCCCATTACTCTTCCACCTCTCACCCGCTAGTTCTTGTGTCCTCCCAGGAGTCTCACCTTGATTGAGTGACGATTATGGTGGTTGCCAGACGAGTCTCTAATTCTGGCACTTCTTGCACATTTTCTAGTTAGCCTTCTACTATAGGGGTTTGTATCACAGTGGACTCAGGGCTGCATCCTTTGTTCCACGGTTTATAATCTTTTGGTGGCATGATTTATTTTGCCCATTTGGAGCTCCTCCCTGCTGGCTCCTTTGTTCTTTGGTCACATCACATCATTGAGCACTTGCTTCCTTTTGGCTTGGGGGGATGCTCCTGGCTCCTCCTGTGTATTAGGAAATACCTGCCCCGGCCCTGGTTCTCCAGGGAGCCCCGGTTCCATGTAGTGGCGAATGGTGTTAGAAACCAGGATGTGGGCTCTGGGATGCTCAGTGCCCCTGGGGTGCCACTGCTTTCAGGACCTCTTAGTAGACAGAGCTGGAAGTAGGTGTGTATAGACGGGCCCAGCAGGTGCCCCAAGGCACCACCATCTGCTTTCAGGTCTGCTTATGTCTGAGCCCTGGTACTCCCGCCCTCTTCTTTTAATGGCCCTGGTGTTTCTGTGTGTTGATTGGGGCTCTCCCGTCCTATAGGCTGCTTTCCCATGCAGCTGCGCCCTCCACACCCCTGTAGCTCCCCACCTTCCTCTTCAGCTGCCCAGCGGCCAGGCTCATGTCCTTGCAAGCCAGCCCTCCTCACCCTGGGCCTGTGTCATTCTGTCTCTCCTGTCATTCCTCCCTTCCCTCCACCTCACTTCTTTGACCTTTCCCATTCATGGGATTTATTCACTCACCTTGTTCCCTTAAATCTCAAACAAAGTAGAACAAAGTAGCTTCTTGTAGTTAAGGGCAGTGGTTTTTTTTTTTTTTTTTTTTTTTTAAGATTTATTAGAGCACAAGCAAGTGAGCACGAGCAGGGCTGGGAGCAGAGGGGACGGGAGAGAGAATCAAGCCGACTCCATGCTGAGCTTGGAGTCTAACACAGGGCACGATCTCATGACCCCAAGAGCACCACCTGAGCCAAAATCAGGTGCTTAACCGACTGAGCCATCCCAGGCACCCCATTATTATTTTTTTATTGTGGTAAAATATATAGAACATAAAATTTACCGTCATAGTCATTTTCAAGTGTGTGGTTCAGTGGCGTTAATATTTTCACGTGGCTGTGCAGCTGCCACCACTTCCCATCTCCAGGACCCTTCATCCTCCAAAACTGAAACTCTGTCCCCATTGAACACTAGCTTCGCTGTCCTCCAGACCCTCGTTATTTAGTTTTTATATTTTCTCTGACCGCACTGGACTTGAGGTGTTTGGATCGTCGAACTGCTCTTGGGGTGATTTCCCAGGAATGGGATGGCTGGCCCACAGTGAACCCGGGCACATGCCCCTCTCTTCACGGCCTCAGGAGCCCTGAGTTTCCATTCTTGTTTTGTTTTTATCGTTTCCTATCATTTCAGCTGAGATTTATATTGTTCTGTAAATGGGTCTTATAATTGTGTCATTTAGGTTTCTTTTCATCACTCTCTGGGTTTAACATTCTGTAGCATTTTTAAGTGATGGTAAATTTTACCTATGTTAGTGATCTGGTCTATATTCAAATAGCAACTTAAGGAATATTTTTAAGTGGGAAGGGTTATAATTTTGGTTTGATTTTTGTTACCTTTTTCTTCTTTTTTTTTTGAGGCAGGGGGAGGGGTAGAGGGAGAGAGAGACTCTTAAGCAGGCTCCACGCCCAGCATGGACAGGCCCTGAGCCAAAATCAAGAGTCAGAGGCTTAACCGACTGAGCCACCCAGGGACCCCTGGTTTTGTTACACTTTAAAACAGACTTAAATCTTTGTATTAGACAAAGTTTCTTTTCTCTGCCCGCCTGAAACAGGAAGGACATATAGTGCCTGTGGTGTGTCTTTAGACTTCCAAATTCCACTACTTCGGGACTCGTCAGCCCTGGAGTTTTGTGGTGAAGGGACACGGGTGGAGTCGGGCTCATGTTGATCTTATGTGATTAAACACATCTTGGAAAAATGATGCGTTGGAAGAGAACGCGTCAGGGGAGGTTTATCTTTTACTCTGTGCAGCTGGGAGGGACCCCCAGAAGAGCAGCCTCCGCCCCGTCGCTGCAGTCCCGGAAAGAGCTGCCCTTTCCCTGCCCCTGGCCTGCGCCTGGCCGCCTGAACGTAACCCTCTCTCGCACCCCCAGGCGATGCACTTGGTGTACCGCGCTCTCGAGAAGGAGCCTGTGCCCTCCGTCCTGCCCCCATCCCTCGTCCCACCTTCCAAGAGGAAGAAGACCGTGTTCCCAGGCGCCGTGCCCGTCCTGCCCGCCAGCCCCCCGCCGAAAGACAGCCTCCGCTCCACGCCTTCGCACGGCAGCGTCAGCAGCCTGAACAGCACGGGGAGCTTGTCCCCCAAGCACAGCATCAAGCAAACACAGGTACGGTGCCCTCTGCGTGCGGCCACTGATATAGCCGCCGTTTGCACGGGGAGAGTTCCAGCCGGATGGTCCTTGGGAGCAAGTGATGCGGGACCCCAGAAAGGTAACATTGGTGATTGCGGTTTTTATTTTTTGTTATTTATTTATTTATAAAGTATTTTTTGAAAGGTCTTTTTTTGTTTGTCAGACAGAGCACACACAAGCAGGGGGAGCAGCGGAGGGAGAGGGAGAAGCAGGCTTCCCGCGGAGCAGGGAGCCTGACGTGGGGCTCGATCCCAGGACCCTGGGATCACGACCTGAGCTGAAGGCAGATGCCTAACTGACTAAGCCACCGAGCTGCCCCATGATTATGTTTTTTAAAACAATATTTACGGTCGGCATCTTACTCTGAGTGTAATGGAATACCATAGCCTGGGTGATTGTGACAAACATTTATTTCTCACAGAAAATCTGGAGGCTGGGAAGTCCAAGATCCAGGCACTGGCAGATTGGGTGTCTGATGGGAGCCTGATTCCGGGTTCACAGATGGTTTCCTCACTGTGCCCTCACGTGGTGCAAAGGACGAGGGGGCTCTCTGGGGTCCTTTCCATGAGGGCAGTGATCTCCTTCATGGAGCTCCACCCTCATGACCTCATCACGCCCCAAGGCCCCACTTCCCAATACCATCACATTGGGGTTAGGTTTTCACAAGAATTCTGGGGTTGGGGGGGTACAAACATCGAGTCCATAGCTACAGGGATTCGGAATTAACGTTTCTCCTTCATTTGCACACAAATACCACCCTTCCTCAGACACTCCGGTTGATCCCACCTCCGGGCTCTCTTGTCTTGTCTCTGTCCCTCCTGCCTCAGGAAGCGCCTTTGCTGGGCAGGTGCATTCCCAGATCACACTCCAGCACTTTGCTTCGTTAGGCCTCTGCTCACATGGGGCACCTTAGCAGGGGGCTCGGGCGTGACCACAGCCAGTGTGCCCTGGGCTCTGTCCACCCTGCGTTCTAGATTTCCCAGGCCTGACCTGTTACATAGTTATGTGTCATCTGTCTCTTCCACATCCCTCCCGCTTAGCTTCATGAGAGCAGAGTTAGTTCTTGGCTATCATCTCAGTGTCAGAGCAATCTCAGGTACTCTGATGCTCAGTAAACATGTTGAGTGTCACGTGAGCAAGGGAGGCATCCATCTCTTGTTAGGAAGACGGTGTGGGGGCTCTGACTCCCAGTGGGCAGCATCTTACGTATCAAAAAGACATTTCTTGGAGCACCTGGGTGGCTCAGTCAGTTAAGCGTCTGCCTTAGGCTCAGGTCTTGATCCCAGGGTCCTGGGATCGAGCCCTGCATCGGGCTCCCTGCTTGGTGGGGAGCCTGCTTCTCCTCCCTCTGCTGCTCCCCCTGCTTGTGCTCTCTCGCTCTCTCTGTCAAAGAAATAAATAAAATCTTAAAAAAAAACAAACCAGAAAGACATTTCTTGTTCTGGCAAATGTAGCACACCATGAAGGGCTCTTTTATAAAAAGGCACCTTTGGGATGATCTCAAACACGCAAGAATGTGACATCCTGCGTTCCATCCTGAGTCATGCTTTGCGTTCTGCCTCATTTTTGGTTTCAGAGGGAAAGCAGTGCAGGTGACGTGAAGAGGGCCAGCCAGCACTGCCATGCAGGTTCAGATATGAACCATAAGAGCAGAAATGGGAAACCATCTTGCGTTGGTCTTGGCCTGTCCGTAAGTGGCATTGTCCGCTAGGGATGCCTGTGGTGCTCAGTTGGGCCCCCATGACTTGCGGCGAGCCCCTGCCGACACTTCCCCGACCCCGGAGCAGATGTCTTTGTGGCTCTTGTTAGAATTTGCAAAATGCATCTCGGCAACAACCATCAGAAAAATTTGAAAAACTAAGATTGATGACTCACAGGTCCTGCAGAGTGCGCGTCACCCCCAGGGCCACCAGAGCAAGGCCAGGGCTAGAGAGGGAGCAAACTCAGACACTCTGCGGGTGCGTCCCTTCCCCCAAGGATGGGGGCAGCTGGTGGAGTCATAGACATGAGAGCGAGCAGTTCTGGGGACCCACAGTCACCATGCCATCCCCTCCCCCACTTCTCTCACCACCAGCCTGGGGCCGCCAGGTCCTGTCTTCACAGCCAGCTGTGGGGCGCAGCCCCTTCCAGCCACCAGGGTCTATTGCTATTGAGTGGGGTCCTGTGGCTGCTAAGCCAGCCTTAAGCCCAGCCCTTTCTGGGAGACCCAGCTCCAAGGAGAAGGCTGTTCCCTGTTGGATTTGTAGCCAAGTTGGATTCGGAGTGTTGCTGTCAACATACTCTGACACCCCAGAAATCAGGCAGCAAGCTCATTTTGTGTGCACATTGAATGTTAGGATTTTTGTCATCCCAGAGTTATAATCTCTTGGGACTTGTGGAGCACAGAAACCGTTTTCTCCCTCAGCTTAGCTTGTCTGATCTGCTGTTACTCCCTCCTCAGGTTTCTTGGCATCTGAGCTTTAGCTTACCCAACCCACTGGACGTAAAGACAGCAAGCCTCTTCTTTGTTAGAGATCCTTTATGTGCGTCTTTATGTCTACTCTGAGGTGGCTTACAAAATTCACATAATAGGGCAGGTAAAGTGCAGGTCTCTCTCGTTATCTAAATTCCTGCTGCCTGAGCCCTTGCTCTTTGAATTCGGTCCACAGGTTCTGATAAATCCTTGCTGGACTAACTCATTCTCGCTATCCAGAATCCTGGAACTAAAATGATCCGGGTAACATGGTGTCCCTTGCTTCCCCCCCTTTGCGTTCTGGATTTCCAGTGCTCGCGTCAGGATCACGCTGGATTTGGATAGCGAGGGAGACCTGTTCAGAAAGAGCAGATGAGGAAAAACGTCTCTAGGAGAAGGGGCAGGGGCACTGTGGAACTTGGTTCAATGAGTATGCCAAAGGTCAGAGGTGACATGTCCAGAATTAGCAGCTGAAGGGGCCCCCGATGCCCCTGAAATAGGAGGTACATGGGCCCTGGTGGACCCCTCTTACGTAGACCTGAGCAGGCAGCGGGAGGGGTCACACATGCAGCAGGTGGCCAAGCCCTGTCGCTGCCGAAATGGCACTACCCGGGGCTCGCAGATACTCTTTGCTGCATCTGCCGGGGCAGTGCCCTCGAGGGTGGTGGGGCCCTTGCGGGTGGCAGCCATGCTCATCTGGGGCCTGGGCTCCCCTGCCAGCACCAGAGGGCCCTGGGTGCCTGTCCATCCAGCAGACACCATTTTCACGTCCGCCTCATTCTGTCCCTGTCAGTGTCTGCTGTGCGCTGACACCTCATGGGGACGCTGCTGTGTCATGGGGAATGGAGTCAGGGTCGAAGGACGGAGTACAGAATCCCGAGCCGTGGGCATGAGAACTGCGGCAGCTGCAGAGACGTGTTTGCAGGCAGAAGATGAGAGGGCCGGGAAGGCTGGCGTCAGAGCGGGTCTGGTTGGTGCTCAGGAGACCGTCCTTCTAACATGGGCCGTCAGGAGGGTCTTGCCTGGCCCATTTGGACCCCCTCCCGGAAGGAGAATTCACTGGCTTCCCTTCAGGCCCCTTCAGACCTGCTGGGTCTTTGTCCTCCTCTAAATACAAGGAGGAGGGGGCGCTGCGATGGGGTGGGAGAGGCTGACTGAGTGGTGTCAGCTGCTCTCAGCCTCAGTTTCCCCACTTACAGAATGGGGCTCCTGTGTGCCCTCTGGGGTCATGGAGTCGTGCTACTCACATGTGTGGAGAAGCGCCTTAATAGTTCTCTCGTCAGGAGCGCGTGGAAGCGCTTTAATAGCACCTGTTTACGGTGATGAGACCCTAGAGACCAACCATTCTGAAACCCGTTTCAGCCAACCGTGAGCTGGGTGGTGCCGGTTGCAGATAAGATGCGATTTGATGAGATATTCCTGAAGACCGACCTGGACCTGGATGGCTATGTGAGCGGCCAGGAGGTGAAGGAGATCTTCATGCACTCGGGCCTCACCCAGAACCTTCTAGCACACATATGGTAAGGACGGGTAGCTGGACGTCGGCTCGTCCAGGCCTCCTGTGTGGAGGTCATGGCTGTGGGTGGCTCTGAGGGGCCTCGAGGAAGTGCGGCTTGTGCTGAAGGAGGGGCAGGTGTCCATCAGGGCATGGCGGTCAGGGGCGTCTCTCCAGCCGTGCCGCAGGCCTCCTGCCGGGGCGGATGGGAGCTGAGTGCTGTAGGATTGCGAAGGCCCTTCTGTATCCTGGGCATGGCAGCTCACTCTCCACCCATTTAGTCCCTCTCACAGCTCTGGGGCGATTTGCTTGAGTGACTGGGGCAAGTTCTTGCTGGTGGTTATGCTGGTTGTCGCGGGACACCCAGCCTTTGCCACAGCCAGTCGGGGTGCGGACGCTTGGCTCTGCTCCTGTGAGGGGAGTGTGCAGTATGTCTCCAGCAGCTCGGGTAGAGCCGCCCTGGGCAGTGGGGACTGCGGCCGCCTCCCCTAGGAGGCCTGTGAAGGTCAGTGACTCGACTCGGCTCCCATCAGGAGGGTGAGCAGTCAACGAGACTCTGGTCCACACCTCAGGGCCACTCAGGGAGCCGGCCTCACCCCTACTTTCCTTCAGGGTGGACCAGAGCAATCTTCATGGCACTGGGATGGCTTCTTTTGCAACTGACCAGTGGTGAAGGTCACTTTCTAACTTTGTCCTCAGGGCTTAGGGGGCTTCACTTGGGAGTCACAAAGAGAGAATTTCCATATAATTCTGGAGAGGTGAACACCTCCAAAGAAGAGCAGTGAAATTTAGCACGTCCTTGGTAATAATTCATAGATGTCCACGCTGTGAGGGGAGGCCCCAACCTGAGAAAACAGGCTGTCCCTTCAGGACTGTGTGACACCGAGTGAGTCACCAAACAGCTGGGGGAGACCAGCTGCTTCTGACAGGTCAGGGACAGTCATTCTCCGCCCCTTCAGCTCCCTTGCCCCCTTTTAGAGGCCGAGGAAGTGCAGTGTCCCCTTTATCACCTTGAAGTGGGTTGTACGTGTGATTCAAAGGTAGCGATGCCGCGCCCCGATCATAGCACAGGGACAGTACCTCAACCTGCAAAGGGTGCATCGACGGGGAAGTGACACGGCGGAATCACCAGTATGCTTGGCTTAAAGAAGGAACGCAGAAAGTGTTGCCTATTAGGGAAAAGGCAGGATGAGCACGCTCTCGAAGAGTAGCACGACAGTCTGGGCTTGTCTGCGGGTGTCAGGCGTGGCTTTCCGGGCCCCATCGCCTCAGGATGACAACCCAGAATGCTGCTGCTGTCACCCCTGTTGAAAGCCAGCAGCTCAGGCTGCTCGGATAACCCGGGCTGCAGGGGCTGGCTAGAGACCTGAGGGGACACGCTCGGGCCCCGCTTCATGTCTCCCAGAACGGCTGCTCTGTACTGGACCATCGCGGTCCCCCACGTGCACGCCGTGAAGAGCTGGTGCCATTTCTGGTAGTTGCTGATGAGGTCTTCCCAAAGGCCCGCCACCTCGGCCTGTGGGGTGGGGTTTGGTGGTTCTCCAGCCAGTCTTTGGGCAGGGTGCTTGGGTGGGGGGTATCGGGACTTCTGTCCAGGAACGGGATGTTCAGTAGAAAAGGAGTTGCCGCTGTGCCCCATTGTTTGTATTGTCGCTGGTCATTTCTTTAAAGGATGCGTTCTGTGATTTGTACTTAGCATGCAGGGCTGAATTCTTGCTTCTTTGATGTGTAATTAGCATCTGCATATTTCTCCCAGGGCCCTGGCTGATACGAGGCAAACAGGGAAGTTAAGTAAAGACCAGTTTGCATTAGCTATGTACTTCATTCAGCAGAAGGTCAGTAAAGGCATCGACCCCCCTCAAGTCCTGTCACCGGACATGGTCCCGCCCTCAGAGAGAGGCACTCCCATCCTGGTGAGTACTGCTGGCTACACCCGGTCTTGTTCGTGTGGTTTCCCGCAGCCTGCCACCAGGTGGCGGCAGTGGCCCACGTGAGCCTGCCAGTGCCTTGCTGTCTTTGCCTACCTTGATCTGGCCCCAGCCTTCACCAGGGGCCCAGGGGTGGGTCTAGGGGGTGTGTCTGGGCCACTGGGATAGTTTTCCAGGCAGCGTGCTGGCCCTTTTGCTACTGTATATTGGAGATACCATGACTATATTCCTCATACCAGGACCGCTAGTCCCCGCTGGGCCTTGAGGCCAGCTTGTCAAATTTTTTTTAAGATTTTATTTTTAACTAATCTCTATATCCAATGTGGGACTTGAACTCACACCCCCGAGATCCAGAGTCACATACTCCACCAATTGAGCCAGCCAAGCGCCCCTCAGTTTGTCAGGTTTTTTTTTAAGGGAGGGGAGGGGCAGAGGGAGAGGGAGAAAGAGAATCTTAAGCAGGCTCCATGCCAGACGTTGAACTCAGTCTCACAACCCCAACATCATGACCTGAGCCAAAATCAAGTCAGACACTTAACCGACTGAGCCACGCAGGGGCCCTTCAGCTTGATAATTTTTTTTTTTTTTAATCTCAAAGCATGAATTTATTCACATATTTTATTTGTTTTTTTAAATAATTTTTTATTGCTATGTTAATCACCATACATTACATCATTAGTTTTTGATGTAGTGTTCCATGATTCATTGTTTGTGCATAACACCCAGTGCTCCACGCAGAGCGTGCCCTCTTTAATACCCATCACCAGGCTAACCCATCCCCCCACCCCTCTCCCTTGACAATTTTTAATTCTGTATTTGAATTTGGTTCCAGGACGGTTCAAGTTCTCTTGGATCAGGGGAATTTACTGGTGTGAAAGAACTTGATGATATCAGTCAAGAGATCGCCCAGTTACAAAGGTGTGTTAAAGCTCCTTCCCCTGAGAATCTGAATCTTACACCAGGGCCTATCCCAGCTTGTTACCACAAGTACCAGAGGCTTGTGAGACATGCGGCAAGTTGACCATCACAAGTCCGTACAGCAGAAGTGAAGGGCTGCACATTCCCCTGAGTTCCTGAATTGACTTAATGAGCTCGAGTGATGACGTTCGCAGTAGTCAGTGGGGGCTGTGGGGTCTCGGGCAGGTTGTTGCTAGGCAGCCCCAGGCCCTGCCCCCTGACCTCAGGAAGGCCTTGCTCTCCCTCAGCACATAAAATGGCTGAGTCTCAGGTGGCAAGTTAACGGCTTAGGACCGACAGCTAACTGAGAGAGGCTTCGTGTATAGGTCTGTGGCTCCTCTCTGTGCCTTCTGCCTCAGTTTCCCCACCCGTAAACAAGGGCTTTGGATGGGGTGTCTGCACTCTCAGAATCTGGCAGAAAGAAGTGCATCCATTTCCTGTATGTCCCTGGGATCCTCTTCAAAGCAGCCACCTCTCACCAGTTAATTCTGGGGGAGGGCACTGAGCAGAAGGGCCGAGAAAGCGCTTTGCCCTCCGGGGGCAAAGTCAGTGAGGGCATGTTGAGCCCTCCTCACCCTGGGCTTTGCTCTGCCTTCCTCTTTCCTCTGCTCTGGGGGCTCGAGTGGTCTCATTGGGAGCATTGCCTCATTGTATCGACAGATTCCACCCACACTGAGGGGAGGGGATGATGTCGGGTGCACAGTCACTGGGAGCCAGCTGAGCTGGGTTCTGTGGGTAAGGACGGAATTGGGCATTGAGAAGTTGGCGCCGAGAGATTACACCATGGCTGTAGGCATGCTATCACTCATCTGTGCTTTCCTGAAATCTTTTTCAATGCCCAGAGAGAAGTATTCCCTGGAACAAGACATTAGAGAAAAGGAAGAGGCAATCAGACAGAAAAGCAACGAAGTGCAGGTAAGCACAGTGCTTGCCCTGGGCAGATGAGCTGTGCCCTGCGGAGCGCCGGCCGTGCCTGTCAGTGGGGGCGGGGTGAAGGAAAGCTAGCCCTGCCCTTCCTGGAAGCACAAGCTTCTGGGGGGCTTCCAGGTGAGGCTTTTAAAGTTTCCTGTAACCATAGACCAGGGTTTTTTTCTTTCTTTTTTTTTTTTTTTTTCCAGTTGAGCTCTATAATTCACATCACATAAAAATTGCTCCTTTAGAGCATACAATTCAGTGGTTTTTAGCATATTCAATATGTTCCTTAGGTATCTCCTCCATCTAGTCCCAGAACATTTTCATCACCCCAAAAAGAAACCCCATGACCATTAGCCCTCACCACCCCCCATTGCCCCTCCCCCAGCCCCTGGCAACTACTAATCTGCTTTCTGTCTGTGGATATGCCTGTTCTGGACGTTAGATGTGAGACCTTTTGTGTCTGGCTTTTTCCACTCACGTCTCCGTGTTTGAGGTTCAGTCAGTGGCTGCTAACCTGTTCTCAGGATAGTCCTGCTTCCTGGAGTGTCTCCTAGCATGTGGTGGTGATGCGGAGACTGGGAGTCTGACTGCTGGGCTCGAACCCCGTTCTCCTTAGTTGTGTGACCTTGGGCAAGTTACTTAACATCTCCGGGTCTTACATGACATCGGTAATGACTGTTCTGCTTTCCTGAGTTGTGGGGCTGGAAAATGGGGTCTGGCATGTATGCTCAGCACTCACTTGGGGCCCTCCCTGCTCTTCTCATCATTTGAGCAGAGGGGAGTCTGCACCAGGGCAAAGCAGTCAGCCCCGGGCAGCTGCACCAGTGAAGGCACATGGGTTCCCATGATGTCTTGGGTCTGAGGTGGCTGTGGCACCCTGAGAGCGCTAGAAGTGCCACTGGGACTGGTGGTCTCTGCTTGAGGACTTGGAGTGTTCTGAGCTCAGAGCTGGGTGGGGGAGAGGGGCAGGCCAAGCTCCACCAGGTCTCACCTGAGTGGCCCGGACCGGTGGCTCGGCCTCCTAGCTTCCATCCCCCCAGCAGGCACCGAGGGTCAGTGCGTGGGCTGCTCACAGAGCCAAGAGCAGCCATGTGCGCCGGGACAGTGGCCGGTTCTTTCTGGGCCACCTCTGAGGGTGTGGACCTGAGCCAGGGCAAGTAAGTAGCATTGGGCTCTCGAGGTGCTAGGTGGCCTTCCCCTGTGCCACCCACAAGGGGACTGGAGGATTCTGGGAGACTGGGAGGATGGCATGTCCCGCCGATCTGTGGGAAGGGCCATCTGTCGTGGCTGTGGTCTGCAGGCGAGGTGGGGTAGATGTGCCCGCTGCTTCAGGACACTCACCGGTTCACGCTGTGCGGTGCCCAGAGCCTTCTTTCCTTTCCTGGCTTCTCACTCTCCACACATGTTAGCAGTGAGGACTGGGCTGTAGATGGTCTCCTGGAATGTTTCGGGTTGGAAAGCAGGGACTGGCCTGCCTCTGACAGGAAGGGCTTTTTTGCTCAGATGAGCTGCTTCAGTTATAAGGCCACCTTGCAGGCGAAGTGACTGTATTTCTCTGAAAGCCCCCATAGTACGTTCCTCCTGTCATTTTATTCTCTCTCAGGCCTCTGATTTCCACCCACATCCTAGAATTGATCCCTCAGACACAGAGCCCGCTCCCGCCCCTCCGTGCCCTGCATCCCCTCAGCCTCCATCCTTCTAGTCCTGGGGTGTGGCGGAGCTGGCCCCTCGTCCCTCGTGCCTGGGCGGGGCCTAGCCAGCAACACGGACGTGTGGCCGGTTCTCCCTTCCTACTGGGTCTGGGTTGCCATGAACATGATTTGGTTTTCATTCTGGTCCCTGAGGATCTGGGTGCTATGATGGCCTTTAACTGCCCAGGAAACCAATCATCGGGTCTCTGGTGCCTGCTCTGGGCGATTCTGAGGAAGATGTCAGGTCTTTGCAGTGACTTGTTCTGACAACTGAAGGTACTGTCCCCTCTGGTCTGTGGCAGGTGCAGCCAAGCCGCCTAGAGCCATGGCTGGTGGGCTCTGACGGGCACATACCTGCAGCCTTTCAGGTGCTGGGGTCCTTGTGTGCCTCAGTAGCTCCCCAGAGCTGGGAGGGAGCCCAACGCCAGCCAGACTGGCCCCTGTTCTGTGGGGGCCTCCTTTGTAAGCAGGCCAGGTCGGGGCTCTGCTGTAGCACTTGATGGCAGCTTTTGGTCCTAGACAGAACACTGTATTTTTTGGAAGTTCCCCTGTGAAAACCAGGTTTGGCTTTGGTTCCTGCCACCTTTCCCCACGTGGGTCTGGCCAGGAGATCACTTGCCACACCCAATAGCACAGTCTGTGGGTCAGGGCCCCGCGTGGAGTATGAGTCCTTTGTCCTCAGGTCGGTTTATGTTTGGTTTTAGGCAGCGGAAGCTTCAGCTTCAGCTCCCACGGTCCTGTTCCCAGGGTGCCCCTTCCCCGTCCTCCCTGGGGGGTCTCTCACCTCCATTTCCATCGCTATCATTCTGGTGAGCACCTGCAGCTTCTTTGCCTGGTTTTTCGTTTTATTTCGTTTTTGTGACAACAGCCTTACTGAGCTAGAACTCACATACACACAGTCCATCCATTTAAAGTGTATAATTCGGTGGTGTTTAGTGCGTGCTCAGGGCTGTACAACCATCACCACTGTCAGTTCGTCAGCACTTTCCTCACTCTGAAAGGAAGCCCTGTCCCCATTAGCAGTCTCCGTTCCCCTCCCCAGCCCCTGGCAACCACTGATCTACTTCCTGTCTTCGGATTTACCTGACCTGGACATTGCGTGGTAATGGACTCATACATGGTGTGACCTCTGTGTCTGGCTTCTTTAACTCCACCTCGTGTTTTCAAGGTTCATCCACGTCGTGAATGATGAACCAGCATGTGTCAGTGTATCCTTCCTTCGTTTTTATGGCTGAGTGAGACCCTACAGTGTGGCTGGACCACATTTTGTTCATCTGTTCATCCGTTGATGGATATTTGGGTTCTTTGACTTTTTAGCTATTGCAAATGACATCACTGTGAACGTTCATGTGCAAGTCACATGGACATATGATTTCACTTCTGTTGGGTCTGTTACCTAGGAGTAGAATGGCTGGATCATATGGTAACTCTTTTGAGGAACTGCCAGACTGTTTTCCAATGTGGCTATGCCATTTTACATTCCGGCCTATAATGCATAAGGGTTCCTGTTTCTCCATATCCTCGCCAGCACTTATTTCCCATTTTTTATTTTAGCCTTCCTAGTGGGTGTGGAGCGGTACCTGATTGCCCCTAACACTTTCCCTAATGATGTTGAGCATCTTTTCATGTGCTCATTGGCCATTTGTGTATCTTCTTTGGAGAAATGTCTGTTCGGACCCTTTGACCATTTTTAAATTGGATTGTCTTTCAATAGCTGGGTTGTAAGAGTTCTTGATAGTTTCTAGATATAAGTTCTTCATCAGATATGTGATTTGCAAATATTGTGGGTTGTCTTTACTTTCTTAATGGTGTCCTTTGAAGCATGAAGTTTTTAAATTTTGGTGAAGTCCAGTCTATTCCTTTTTTTTTTTTTTTCCTGCTCTCGCCTTTGGTGTCATATCTAACAACTCATTGCCAAATTCAGGGTCACAAAGATTTATGCCATGTTTTCTTCTAAGATTTTATCGTCTTAAGCTCTTACATTTAGATCTTTGATCTGCTTTCAGTTAATTTTTGCATAGGGTGTGAGGTAGGGGTCTGACTTCCTTCTTTTGCATGTGGAGATCCAGTTGTCCCAGCACCATTTGTTGAAGAAACTGTTCTTTCTCCATTGAATGGTCTTGGCACCCCTGTTGGATATCACTTGGCCATCGATGTGTGGCTTTATGTCTGGACTCTGAATTCTATCCCATTGATCTACCTGCATTTCTCCTTATGTCAATACCACACTGTCTTGATGACTGAGCTTCTTAGAGGCATACCTCATTTTATTGTGCTTCACTAGATTGTGCTTTGCGGATACTGTGTGGTTTTTTGTTTTTGTTTTACAAATTGAAGGTTTGTGGCAACCCTGTGTCAAGCAAATTTATCAGCACCATTTTCCCAGTAGCATTTGCTCACTTTGTGTCTCTGTGTCCCATTTTGGTGTTTTTGCAATCTTTCAGACTTTTTCATTATTATATATGTTATGGTGATCTGTGATCAGAGACTATGACTCCCTGAAAGCTCAGATGATGGCTAGCAATTTTTAGCAATAAAGTATTATTTTATTTAAGGTGTGTACATTTATTTTTAGACATAATGCTGTTGTATACTTAATAGATTGCAGTATAGTATAAACATACTTTTATATGCACTGGGAAACTAAAAAATTCATTTGACTTGCTTTATCGCAATATTTGCTTATTGCAGTGATTTGGAACCAAACCCACGATGTATCTGAGGTATGTCTGTTGTAAATTTTGAAATTGAAAAGTATGAGTCCTGCCACTTTGTTTCTTCTTTTTGGAGATTGTTTTGGCTATTCCCAGTCCCTTGCATTTCCTTAATGAATTTTGGCATCAGCTTGTCAGTTTCTGCAGAGAAGCCAGCAGGGGATTCTGGGGGGGGCGGTTTGAATTGAGTTTGTAGGTTGTCTGGGTTATTTCTGTGTTCTCTTTGCTTAGACACCTTCCCCATTCTGACCCAGCTCCCGTCCTAACCATGAGCTGGTGGGTCTTTGTCCCCGTGGGGCTCTTTGATTCCTCCTTCTTCTTTATAGAATGAGACTCAGATTCCTTGATGTCCCAGGCTGTTGGCCACCTGGTGTCCCAGGCTACCACACTGGGCCTGATCCTCCTCCCTGCTTCGTCTCCTCCTCCTCCATCACTGTTCTTCCTGCAGATGTGGCAGACCCATGTCCTAGACTCCCTACCATCAGTCTCTTCTCTTCCCCAAACTTGTCAGACTGAGGATCTGCTTCCTGAATTAAAGGTTAGGGGCAGGGAGCCTGGGGAGCTATCCAGAGAGGAGAGAGCCATGACATTTTTATCAAGGCAGAGAGGAGACGCTGTGACTGCTTTGGATTTTTTCCTAAAATGGCACCAGCAACCCATAGCCCAGGCCAGCCCTGGGGATCGGCCTCACCATCCCTGTCTTCCTGTACCCTCAGGTCCCCTCAAATCTTTCCCTTACTTTGGTTCCCATGGCCACCATCTCACCTAGTTCTGGGTCCCCTCCCTGCTCCCTTCATCAGCACCCCCAGGCCTCCATCTCCTCTGCCCCACCCATCCGTGATTTTAGCTTTAGTTGTAAGACGTTTGATAAGATACTTGCCTGGTTGAAAATCAAAAGGCGTGAAGCCTCCTGCCCTCCCCTTCACCCCCTCAGTGATGCAGTTCATTGGCTCCCATGAGGCCTTCCAGGAAGGTCATGTGCATGTTTAAGGAGAGAGATTTGTGCATATTCTCTCCTTCCTGTTTGCACGAATGCCAGAATGCAAAGTACACATGTGCTCTGCCACGTGCCTTGTTTGCTTCACATTGTAACTCAGAGTATGAGGTGCAGCTTCTCTTAGGGTAAGACTGTACCGCAGTTGTTAGCCAGGTCCGTCTGGTGGAAATTTACATTGTTTACAGGTTTTGCTCTCACACGCTACATGTGGTCACATGTGTCGTACACCTCTAAGATGCTTTTCCTAGAGGTGTCATAGTCGGGTCTGAGGGTAGCTGCTAGGTCATCTTGATAGATACTGCCAATTTGGAGGAGCGTTAGCAGTGGAGAAGCGTCGTGTCCCAAGCCCATACTTCAGTGACCTGCCCCAGAAGCAAGTGTGGACTCTTTGGTGTGGCCCTGCTTCCTTTGCCTCGAGTTGGAGCCCAACCACCCCCCCTTCCCCACCTTGGGCCCCCTGCTATCCCCCCACCGCTGGGCTTCTTTCCTCCTGGCTCTTCACGTGGCTGCTGCCTGCTTGTCCTTCAGGTCCACCCTAAGTAGTGCTTCCGTGGGGGTCCCCTCCATCTGTGCAGCATCAGTCGGTCTCCCCATGCCCCCAAGTCCACCCAACAGCGCTCATGCATTCTGTTGGTTCCATTCCTCCCAGTTTATTTATGTTTGGGTGATGCCTCTCCTCTCTCCACCCCTGACCACATCCACTGGACAGCTGTTCTTGCTGGGACCCAGCCACTCTCCTGGCCCTTGGCCTTTCTTAGGCTGTCAGTAAGTATTTGCCAGGACACTTAGTGAGAGCTCAGTCCACTGCCGCCAAGCCAGGATGCACGCATTTACAGCAGGTGTGCACCGGATGCCTGCCAAGTGCAGACTGGGGGCACAGGCGGTTTTGTAGGACGTCCTGGGGACTCCAGCCCAGGCTGAGACCCTGTTACCTGGATATTCCCCATGCTCATCCGTCTCAAGTAAAGTGATGTGACTCTTCCTAGGAATTACAAAATGATTTAGACCGGGAAACAAGCAGTTTACAAGAGCTAGAAGCTCAGAAACAGGACGCCCAAGACCGCCTTGACGAAATGGATCAGCAGAAGGCCAAGCTCCGAGACATGCTGAGCGACGTGAGGCAGAAGTGCCAGGACGAGACTCAGATGGTGAGTCTCACACCCAGCACTGCAGGGGGGCTTCCTGCAGGCTTCTTTGAGCTCACGATGCCCTTGAAACACAGGGCTGAGACATCCTCCTGGGTTAATAGAGACATACCACTTGAAAAAGTGACCAAGCATTTGTGGCCTAACTTCAGTCTCACCCACCGAGCCATATGGTGAATGGCCTTTGGTCCCTGCTAACCTGTGTGTGTGGATACCTCACCCTGGCCTGTACCTCACAGCACAGGGGGGCCAGCACACCCCTCTCCCGCTCTGCTGTCTTCACTGCTCATTACAAACCAGAGGGGCTGCAGCCTCAGCAGACTGTAAAGCCTTGTGTCCTCCTCTGCGGCCTCGTTCGGGGATCTTTAGCCCCTGAGGGACAGATTGCCTGTGCTTACCCCAGGTCTCATTCTTCCTTATCCCAAATTGACTTTCTGTCAGTTACATGGGCTTGAGCATGTCTGCCTTGTTTCTCTCTGTCTTGCGAGTGGAGAGAGGGCCCTGGAAGGAGGCCAGGCGTCCGGCCATCGGGCTGGTGTCTGCCTCACTGGGCTAGCTCCTTCCAACAACGTGAATTAAGAATTCTCCTTTGGGGCGCCTGGATGGCTCAGTTGGTTGAGTGTCCAGCTCTTGGTTTAGGCTCAGGTTGTGACATCAAGCCCCACATCGGGCTCTGCACTCAGCGTGGAGTCTGCTTGTCCCTCTCTCTCTATTCCTTCTGCCACTTGCGCAGATGCTCTCGCTCTCAAATAAATAAGTAAAGTCTTAAAAAAAAAAAAAAATTCTCCCTCAGTCATATTTCATCTCATTTCAGATTTCCTCATTGAAGACCCAAATCCAGTCTCAGGAATCCGATCTCAAGTCCCAGGAAGATGACCTGAACCGGGCCAAGTCTGAGCTGAACCGATTGCAGCAGGAAGAAACCCAGCTGGAGCAGAGCATTCAGGCTGGGAAAGTTCAATTGGAAACCATCATCAAGTCCTTGAAATCAACGCAAGACGAAATCAACCAGGTACCTTGCTGAGGGCGGGGCCCCTGCCTCTGCTGGCCGTGGCGGGGCCTTCTGGCACGTGGAGTAGCTGCAGTGACCTGTTACAGTGCTATATGTGACCAGCCTGTGTTGGTCTGCACCTGCACCGAGGCCGCTTGTTTCCTTTGCTGTCACCCACCTCATTTATGTTAGGCTCTCTTCTGAGAGGCTGCCACCCTGGCCTGGAGGGTGAGCCCCCAGAACCCTCCAGTGTGTATGCGGGCGTTGTGCTGACTTTGGCCCGGTGGCAGTTTGCTTTGCCTTCCACTTCCCCACCTGAGTGCGTGCCATTTTGGGGGAATGGGCAGGGTCTGCGTGAGGACTTGAAGAGCTCCTGTGGAGAGGGTCTTGGGCACAGAAATGCCCTCACCAGCGTGGTTCTTGGACAAGCGAGAGGGACAGAGTCTGAGATCGGTTCCAGCACCTCTCCATCCCCACACAGTTTGCGGACTGGCACATGAAGGAGGCCCCACCCTATGAGCAGCATCACCCCATGCTTCTTCAAGTTCTTCAAGCTGTCTGGGCACCCCGTCCTTTTCCCACGCCCATGTGAGGGCCCTGAGGCCTGCAGCGGTGGCTCGCCAGCAGAGGGAGGGCTCTTCTCCTCCCCTGTACACAATGGCTCCTGCATGTCCCATCTACGGAGTGGGGGTGATGCTCGCCCTTGGCAGTGTCAAAATGGCTAGTCGTGCTTCCTTTCCTGACTGGCTCCATCTCTCACTCTTTTTGCCAGGTTACAGACAAAAGTTGATTACAAACATGTGCCAGGGGTTTAATACCGTATACTGTGTTTCATCCTTAATGAACAGGTGTAGTATTATCTTAAGACCTTTTACCTCCAAGCAGTAAGAGTTTGTATAGGTAGATAGGAACCGAGACATGAGTGTGTTAGTAATAACAGTGAAGTTCACTGCTGCTTATTAATGCAAACGGGGTGATAAAAACTCCATAAAGGAAAATGTTGATAATCGCTTGGAACAGATTGTGAATCTGGATTTTACCAGTTTCAGTTTGTTCAGAATTGACAAAAGTCTGTTTGAACACGGGCCTCCCTCGGGGGGTGGGGATACAGAGAGGCCTCATGGGGCGGTAGGAAGGACCTCATTCTGGTTTACAGTGGTCTCGCTTCTTGTAAACTCTGTAGGCGAGTCATTAAGTGTCCCATCTGAATCACTCGGGGTTGGGCATTAGGAGAAGAAAATGTCTCGCCTGACACTTTTCCCCTAAACCCTGTGTGCTAGCGGCCATCTTTGTTGTGTAGGCACGAAGCAAGCTTTCCGAGCTGCACGAGAGCCACCAGGAAGCCCACAGGACCCTGGAGCAGTACGACGAGGCGCTCGACGGGGCCCATGGCGCCAGCCTGACCAACTTAGCCGACCTGAGCGAGGGGGTCTCTCTGACAGAGAGGGGCGGTTTTGGAGCCATGGTAAAGGTCGAATAAACATACTCAAGTCCTGGGATTAGGTCTCACGTTGAGATCAGAGGATGCCCTGCCTGTGGGATCCGGCGCTTGCCAGCCTTGATTCTATCCAAATGCAGGGTGTTTCTTGTGTCCACTGCCGCTCTGCATGTCCCCACAGGCCCTGCGGCCCAGTGTCATGGCTGTGCTCCGGCCTTGATTCTGGGACAAAGCAAAGGATAGGCCTGAATCCTTTGTAAACCAGTGTTTAAAGACCATCTCTAGTGGGCTGACCACCCACGTTTGGAGGGCTTCCCCAAAGTAACCAAAACTGAATCAAGCTCTCACACATTGTGAAACCCTATATCCTGCTAGTTGGGGGGACCAGGGGAGTGTGTGTGTGTGTGTGTGTGTGTGTGTGTGTGTGTGTGTTCCCACAAGGAGCACCTTGAAAATCAAATGTATTGCTAAAGATCAAGAAAAGTGACAGCCCTTTCGAGGCACTGCTGTTTGACCTATGAACTGGCCTCTCTCTTGCAATTTTGGTTACACTGAAAACCTCGGCACTTTATGACCCTAGGGTTCCTGATCAAGGCCCAAGGGGCTGTTGGCCTCTCTGGTTTCTGTGGACTCTCGGGCTGCTCACATCCAGCCAGTGTTACTTTTTCCTCACATTGTCAGGTCCCCTCGTTCCTGGCCCCGAGCCCCAGCATTTCCACTCTAGTCTGGCTGATGAGAGCATCATTGTGCTCCTGAGGGAGCCAGTGGGACACGGTTGGTCTCGATGGTTTGGTCGTGCTGTGTTTCTGAAGCCTTTGACTGCTCACCCCGCACTGCTGCCCCCTCATCCAGGACTCCACCTCTGAGCCCTCCTTCTGCTCCTGGCCCTGTTGGCTTTGCAGATTCCTTTTCCTTCCTGTAATAATAACGACTTCTCTCTCTCTCTCAACTAGAGACTTAGCTCTTCATGTTCATTTCTTACGTGTTTCTTTCCTCATTAGCTGAGTAGTCAGTCCCAGGAATTTATGGGGAAGCTTACGCCTCCTTCCCTGGGTCGCTTAGAAGATGCTGTTGGTGCTCTCCTCTGTCTCCTGTCTCTGGCCCTTGCTGCTTCCCTCTGCTATTCACAGATTCCTTTTTGTCATGGAATTGTAAATGGGTGAATTCCATATCCGCCCTGGGGCCCAAATTCAGCTTGATTGTCTGAATTTAGACTATGGAACAACATCCACTCATTGTTAAGTGCTTGAGGCAGAATTGCCCTCTTGGCTGTCCGGCTGTCCCCTGTCTGTGTGTGCATTTCAGCTTCACGGCCCTGCTTTCACTTTCCCCATCTGGCGTTGGTCCCCTTGCACAGCTTTGGGCTTGTCCTGTTTCATCTTCGTTCACGAAACAGCTCACTCTCAGACCCTTTTGCAGGTTCGAATAAGATCGGTTTCCTTGGATAAAAAGTTGGCAGCAGAGTGGCAGTTTGCAAGTGGCCAGTGATTTCCCTCCTCCCCTTGGCCCCCCCCCCGATTTTTAATCTTTCCTTATTTTCATTCATCTTGTAAGCAGGGCAAAGTTTACATGATAGTCAACTCATCCTGGAATGTCGATGTCAGATATGTTACATAGAAACTTGCAACCAGTGTCCGAAAGAAAAACTATATTTATCTTGTTGTACAAATACAGTTTTTAAAGCATTTTTTGGTTTGTTTCCTTTTCTTAATAAATACTTCGAAGAGGGCTTTTTGTTTACTCTTGAATATTTCAAGACTGCTTCACAGAGCTCTTAGTTCTCTTTGAGGTGGGTGAAAGTGAGGGGTTTAGTCCCCTGAGAGTAGTGTAACCAGAGAGGTGCATCTAGAACTTTCTAAGGCTGGACAGTTCTAAAGTTACTGACTTTAGTGTTAAGCTCATAACTATGTTACTTTGTCCAAGAGACTGATGCTTCTTAAAGCAAAATTTATTTCTTGTCTCTCATCTGATGATGATAATACTGGCTTCTTGCCCTTGAAGACGGCACCCAGCCAACCTGTCTAGTAGAGAGAAGGTAATAAATCATCCCAGACTTAAGCCTCGCCAAGAACTCATCATTGGGTTGTTGCATCCAGCCCCACTGGCATGCTGGAGCCATATTTTCTTGACTTTCCAGAGCTGATTATTAAATAGGAATTTTGTAACCTGATTGTTCAACTTTTGGTAACTTGGATTCAGCCACGGTGGGAGTATTTACACCATGGGAACTGGCAGAAGCTACCAATCAGGGCTTTTTTTTTTTTTTCCCTCAGCTGGTTCACCAGCACACCACTGCCCAGCCCCCATCTAAAGGGAAGGAAAGTCACAGTAACTCCTTTCAGAGTTGTCACATCTATTTCTTTTTTTATTTTTTAAGATTTTATTTATTTATTTGAGAGAGAATGAGAGATAGAGAGCACGAGAGGGAAGAGGGTCAGAGGGAGAAGCAGACTCCCTGCTCAGCAGGGAGCCCAATGTGGGACTCGATCCTGGGACTCCAGGATCATGACCTGAGCCGAAGGCAGTCGCTTAACCAACTGAGCCACCCAGGCGCCCCACATCTATTTCTTAACAAGTGCAGAACTTAAGACTAGTTCCTGAACTCTGTGTTCGAGGTATTTTACTCTGTCTTTTGCCCTGGTGCTTGTCTGCTGCACTGTGTCTCCCAAGTGGCAGCTGGCTCAGTTCTCACTGATAAGTGGTCAGTGGAGGGTGGCGTTTATGGCATGTCTGCACCAGGGGAAATCTCATTTTCTGCTCCGAATCCGTGAAATAGAATCAGAACCACTGGTGGTTACCTTACATACATGAATCCTCCTGGGGTCTCTTTAGGCTTCTTCTTTGAAGGGGAGGGAGCGATTGCTGCCTCAGGCAAATAATTGCTCCTGAGAAAGAGATTGCAGACCTGACTTTCAGTTCGGGGGCTCGCAGCCAGAGCCCCTAGAATCACAGTCTCCTCTCTGCCATCGCCCCCTCTTATTTGGCAGGCTTCCAAGTGGTGATCGAAAACATTAAAGAAAAAAAAAACCCACCAACTTGTAAACCAGTACTGTTAAAAACTAGATAGAAGCTTCCAGTCTGAGACCAGGCTGTCATTCTTAGCGCACATCCGTATCCCGGTCATCTCTCTCCATTCTTCTGGAACAGATACATTCCTTCCCCCATGGTACATTGTGAAAGGTTGATTTTCCATCTTGGCCTCCCAGCTTCTTTAGATTAGGACTTCTCCCTCATATTTATCTGTGTCAGAGAGCCCCATCAGACGCTTGCTGGGTGCATGCTTCGTGCAGGTGTTAGCACCATGCTGTCCTTAACGAACCGCACACTTCCGCCAGACGCGGTGCTTGCAGACATCTGTACTTACTTGCCTAAGAACCCTGCTTGGTTTCCCCACCTTGGGAAGCCTTGTGGTTGGAGGCTGCAGATAATCTTTCCCAGGTAAGAAAAGTCATTCTGTATCCATCAGAGGGCAAGGGTGTTGGTCATCCTTCTGAAGCCCGGGGCTTCCCATTGGCCCAGTGCCTCTGAAAGCCATCCTGCTTCCCAAAGTTGGTCAGCCCAGAGTGCTGGGAGCCTAGTCAGGAATCTTCCTTTGACGTCATTGCCCTGTAACCATTGTCTGTATTTTTACGGAAGCCCCAGCTCTTTAATTATTTGGCTTTGGAATAATGGATGTTTGCCAGCCCCACGGGTGCCGACACATCTGCCAGATTCAGTGAGGATGTTGTGCTTTTTCATATCACAGTGAAACCTTCGTGTTTTCACTGAGGGTGTGTCTTTATTAACCAAAATACACTCACTGTTTCTACACGAAGTGCATTGTTCCTGTATAGATTATACCCCCCCACCAACATTTGGGCCATTTTCAACTATAAAAATGTGCTCTTCAAAAGCAAATTTTTTTTTCCTTCTGGTTTAAACATGCTTGTTTGTTTCTAGAAATAAGCACTTTTTTAAAAACATGCAAAGTGCAAAGCGTATATGCTCTAGTAGTTCCAACTTCATAAGCAACTCATTTCCTCCCAAGATGTAAATAGCCCGCGTGTTTCTTGGTGTGGAAAGAGCATTTTAAAAAATGCCCACGTAGGTAGACGTTCTGTGAAAAAAAGATTGAGGGAGGCCACACTTTTGAACGAGACCCATGCTGTCGTTGTTGAGTGGCTTCTTAGGTTTTCTTTTTGACATTTCCAAAAATACCACTGTTTTCTGACTTAGTGATTTATTTTTAAGAAGAATTTCTAATTGTGAGAAAATACATATAACATAGAATTGACCATCTGAACCATGCCTCAGTATATTCATGTTGTGCAACTAAACTCCAGAACGTTTTCATACCCACTAAACACCCACCCCCCATCCTGCTCCCCCAGCCCCTGGCACCCACTGCTCTACTTTCTGTCTCTGAATCTGACTCCTCTAGGGACCTCATATAAAGTGACACTGTCACACAGCATTTGTCTTTTCGTGACTGGCTTGTTTCACTCAGCATAATGTCCTCAAGGGTCAATAATATTTCCTTTATTTTTACATACTACATCCAGTATATCTGTTCGTCCGTCAGCGGACGTTTGTTTGGGTTGCGTCCACTCAATTTTTAAATAAACTTTCAGTTTGCAAGAGTGATGGACTTACAGGAAAACTTAAAGGGAGTACAGAAAGTTCCCACATACCCCACACCCGGCTTCGCCTATCATTAATGCCTTTTCCCTGCAAATGAACATTTGTCACCGCGAATAAACTATTGTCGACACGTCACTATGAACCAACGTCCACATTTCTTTGATGATTTTTTGATCGTTCTCTGTAAGATCCCACTGCTTGAAGGAGAAATATGCAAGTTGGGTAGGGAATTCTGTACTTTGCTTTAAATTTGAAATAATAAAATTCCTGTCCTGTCTCTTCACAAAATTATAGGACGATCCTTTCAAAAATAAAGCCTTGTTATTTAGCAACAATGCCCAAGAATTGCATCCGGATCCTTTCCAGGCCGAAGACCCCTTCAAATCCGACCCATTTAAAGGAGCTGATCCCTTCAAAGGTATCTCACCCGGTGCCCACTTCGTCATTGGAGGGCCGTTTACTTTGTGCTGTTTAGAACTGTCTGATGACTAGATTGGTTGCAAGATAGCTCCTTCTGGAAGGGAGGGGGAAGGGAATTCTTGGAGCCTCCTGGGCTACCTGAGTGTTTCGCCTCTGCTGGTTCACTACAGAACTGAGGCATTGGTGTGTGGTGGAAGAGCTCAGCTCCCAGCTCCCACCTCCCAGCGAGGTGCCCACATTCAAGGGCAGCTGGCTCCGCCCTTAACCTCTGCACACCTCGGTTCCCAGCCTCCAGAAGGGGTGGTAAATTCTCCCTTGCTCTCTTGGTGGGATCAATAAGACAATCAGATGTAGTCATGATTATGAAACTACCCAGTGAAGGACAGATCCCCACGTAAGTCTAAGGTCTTCATGTGACACATTTACCCAGAGCCACACACGGGTTGAGAATAACCAGGAAGACTTCTAGAAACAAGTTTTCCTCGGTTACCCTGTGTGTTTTTTTTTCAGAGCAGGAAGCCTGAAAGCCTCCCAGGAAGGCTATCTGTATGTTCCCGAGCGAGGTGCTGGGGCAGGGAGAGGGCAGTGGGGGTGCCTTTCCAGTGTCAGATGTGGGATCAAAGCTCCGCAGGTCCAAGAGAGGAATCGGGCAGCTCCTGAAGCTTGGATATGTGGAGCTCATCATCGCTCCGGGGCTGCCTGTGGGTTGAGGACTGGGGCAGCCCTGGTGTCCTGTGTTGTCGTACCTGGGGGAGGAGGTGAGAGGGAGATGAGATACAAGCGTAAAGTGTGGCAGAGAAAGAGAGGAGTGAATTCTGGCTCACTCCACATTTTCCCCGCCTCCAGCCCATGTTGAGCAGCCAACAATACCTCATTTCATCTTGAACACCCCAACTAAGAAAAGCCGCCTCGGCCAGTGGCCGCTCCCACTTGGATATGCCAGAGTCCTTTCTGCCATAGAGCTAAACATCCCTCTCTCCTCTAACCTAGGTGACCCATTCCAGAATGACCCCTTCGCAGAACAACAGACAGCTTCAGCAGGTAAAAGCCTTTGTTGAGAAGACTTTGTTTTTTCGTGGACTCGTCCTCAGACTCTTTCCATTCCTAGTTCAAGTTGAAGGAAATGGAAAAGCAGCCTGTCTGCCAGGCCTCCTACGACAGGGCAACAGGGGAGCTTAGTTTCTGAGGAAGCCTGGCAGCGACATTACCCTCCACTGTCAGGTGCCCCTTCTTGCTGACCTCACAGCGTGAAGAGAAGCAGAGCTAGAAAAGGAGCTCCCAGTGGCCAGGTGATTTTTCAGACCTGCCCATGGCAGCCTGGTCCTGTGGTAGCATCAGGGGGCCCCGTGTAGCGCCTACCCACAGCGGGGCTTCGGTCTACACATGGCAGAGGTGGCGGCGGTACCGGGAAGCATGGCCATCTGCACTGCACGAAAGCCTAGCGTCTCATTCCCTGCTGGTGACAGCGGCGTTGCCCCGTGTCTGTTCACCATGCCGGCACCCCGCATTCCAGGGGAATGAGCACACCGTGGGTATGGTGGTGCGATCATGCTGCCTGTTTATCTACTTCTTTATTTTTTTACTGAGGTGAAATTCATACAACATAAAGTTCACTGTTTTAAAGTGACAGTGACATTTGGTATATTCATAATGTACAGCCACCACCTCTGTGTAGTTCTAGAACATTGCCATCCCCTAAACGGAAGTCTCATCCCCATGAGTGGTCATGCCCCTTTCCCCCTCCCCCAGCCCCTGGCAACCACCAGTCTGCTTTCTGTCTCTGGATTTATCCATGTTTTTATTATGAAAATCAGCTTTGTTGGGAGGTGTAATTTACGCACAACAAAATTCACCAATTTTAAGTGTATGATTAGATAAGTTTTGGTAAATATGTGCAGTTGTGTGAGATCGAGAACACCTCCATTGTCCCAGAAGGTTCCCTTGTGCCTCCCACCCCCAACCCCCAGGCTCCTGGCAACCAGTGACCTGCTTATTGTCATTATGGTTTTTCCCTTTTGTAGAATTTCATATAAAATGGCGTCAGTCAGCTATGTGTTCTTTTACATTTGGGTTCTTCCATGAAGCATAATGTTGTTTATTCATAGGGGCATGTTTTTATTCACTTTCCAAAACACCCTCTAGATCCATTCGGAGGGGATCCTTTCAAAGAAAGCGACCCATTCCGTGGCTCTGCGCCTGACGACTTTTTTAAGAAACAGACAAAGAATGACCCGTTTACCTCAGACCCATTCACGAAAAACCCTTCCTTACCCTCAAAGGTGAGTGACACCGGGGAGACATAGGTGCTAACTGCGTGTGCCCGGTGCTTGTTCCTGTGAGGCTCGTCCCACGACTCAGGCTGTCACATTCGGTGGGCTGATGAGCCCATGTCAGGATGGCTTGGGTCCCAAATAGCTCTCTTTTCTCTGTTCCTTTCTGTGCCCCTGTCACTTCAGCTCAGGCCCGCTGGGTTCTATCTCCTGTTCTATCTCCTGCTCCCACTGCTGCCCCGTCTCCCAATAAAACTGAAATGAAAGAAAGCATCACATGCTCCACACGGCTGCCCTGCCATCTTCCTGGCAGCACTGAAAGCATGTGAGGCATTCACGTGCCCCTCTCCATCCCCAGCATCTAGCAAACCGTGTGTGTTGCATGGTGTTAGGCCCATTGCGCTGCACAAAAAAGTGACTCTCTGATTGAACAGAGAATCCTCGTGTCTAGTGAGGGCAGTGTAGCCTTCCTTCATGTTCCAGGCTGCATCTCTCCCTCCACCCCTCAGATTCCCTGGTTTTCCTCTTCTCCATGGACCTCTTGGTCTGTCGCACTAGACAGACCAGAGCTCCTTGAAGGCAAGGATTAATTTGTAACATTTCTGTTGATAGACCTGTCACGGGATATGCCTGGCCTTTCGTTTCTGCTACTGGTCTATGTGTGTGATCTGTGTTCCTACTCTCTGATGAGCTTGTCCATGAACTAGCTTTTGGTTCTGTTAATTTCCTCTCCTGTTTGCTTCTATTTCACTGATGGCTGCTGCTTATTATTTTCTTCCTCCTATTTATTTTGGGTTAGTACTTGCTCTTCCATTTCTAACATCTTAAGATGTCACTGACTTTAGACCATCTTTTCTAATATAAATATTTTAAAACTACACATTTCACCCTAAGCACTACTTAGCTGCATTCCACACATTTTCATATATCGTATCTTCATTGTCCTTTAGTTTGAGATATTTTCTAGTTTCCCTTGTGATTTCTCTGTTGAAGCATGGATTATTTAAAGTACTGTTTTGTTTCCAGATATTCTTTCCTTCCTTTACATATCTTGTGATACTGATTTTTAATTAAATCTGTTATTAGAGAACATATTTTGTATGCTTGCAGTCCTTTTAAATTGATTGATACCCATATTATGGTTCATGTTGGTGTCCATACCACGTACCATTGATGAGAACTGTTGATCTACAGTTGCTGGGTGTCATGTTCTATCAATGCCAATTATGTCAGTGGGGCTGATAGTTCCGATCGTTTGTGTCCTTACTGTTTTTGTTTGCTTGTTTTGTAGCTCTACCACTGTACCCATCGCTGAGAGAGGAATGTTAAAGTCTGTGATTGTGGAATTGTCTTTGTCCCTGTTAATTCCGTCAAGTTTTGCTTCATGTGTTTTGAAGCTCTCTCTGGTGCCTACACATTTGTGCTTCTTGTATCAGCCTGATGCAGTGACCTTTTTATCATTATAAAAGCTTCCTTTTTTTCCTCTGGCGATATCTCTGTCTTGAGATCTGTTTTATCACATACTGAAATAGCCTTCCTTCATCCTTCTTACGCTTACTCTTTGCCCGCTATATCTTTTTTCATCCATTTACTTTCAGTCTACCTGGGTCTTTATACACAGAGGGTTTTTTATAGCGAGCATATAGTTGGGACTGCTTTTCTCTCCGGCCTGGAAATCTTGGCCTTCAAAATAGAGTGTCTAGTCCATTAACATTTAATGCAGTTGTTGATATGGTTAGATTTAAATCTACCATTTTATTATTTCCTTGCTTTTTATCCCCTGTGTTTTGTTCCTCTGTTCCCTCTCTGCTGCCTTTTAGATTATTTGAATGTTTTCTAGAATTCCATTTTCTAGTATTTGTTGGCTTCTTTTAACTATACCTATTTCTATTATTTTTGGAGGTTGCTTTAGGGATTACCGTATATACCCTTAACTTTTCATATGCTACTTGGAGTTAATATTATATCACTTCATGTAAAATGTAGAGAACTTGCAACCATATGGGTCCATTTGTCCATCTCCTTCCCAGCCAGCAGTGTCTTCTCTTTTGTTCTAGCTGTCATATGAATATATCTAAATATGCCATAAACTCCCTAAGACCATCTTGCTTTAGTCCATTATATGTGTCTAAAAGATATATATTTTTTAAAGATTTATTTATTTATTTGACAGAGACATAGCAAGAGAGGGAACACAAGCAGGGGGAAAAGTAGAGGGAGAGGGAGAAGCAGGCTCCCCACTGAGCATGGAGCCTGACGTGGGGCCCGATCCCAGGACCCTGGGATCATGACCTGAGCCCAAGGCAGACGCTTAACCGAGTGAGCCACCCAGGCGTCCCTAAAAGAAATGTTAAAAGGGAAAAAGGCGGTCTCCTTGTTTTTACCCATATATTTGCCATTTCTGATGCCCTCATTCCTTTCTCAAGATCTTATTTACCCTCATGATCCTTTTCATTAAGCCTGAAGAACTTTCTTTGGCATTTCTTACAATACACGTCTACTTTGTTGTCATTCCCTTTTTTTTAAATAAAGATTTTATTTATTTATTTATTTATTTGTCAGAGGGAGAGAGCACAAGCAGCAGGAGTGGCAGGCAGAGGGAGAAGCAGTTTCCCCGCTGAGCAGGGAGCCCAATGCAGGATTCGATCCCAGGACCGCAGGATCATGACCTGAGCCGAAGGCAGATGCTTAATTAACCAACTGAGCCACCCAGGTGTCCCTTTGTTGTCACTCTTGAAGGGTATTTGTGCCCGATCTAGTATTATTTTTTTTCCTTCCAGCACTTTTGGATGTTATTCCACTGCCTTCTGGCCTCCCTGTCCTTGAGGAGAAGTCCTGAGTCTCTCAGGCAGTTGGCCCCCACCATAGGTACCATGCTGTTTTTCTCTGGCTGCCTTAGCTCTTTAGCTCTGTTTTTCAGTAGTTTTGAGTGTGAAGCATATGTGTGTGTGGTTTTCTTTGTATTTAAGTTGTTTGGGGTTTGCCGAGGTTCTTAAATCTGTAAATCAGGTCTTTTACTAAACTTGGCAAGTTTTTGGCCATTGCTCCCTTAGACATTTTCTTTTTCTACCTTATTCTCTCCTTTCTTTGTGGGATTACAATTACTCTTATATTAGAGGTTTTACTAATGGCTCCACAAGTCCCTGAGACTGTGTTTTCTCTTCATTCTTTTTTTTCTCTTTTTTCTCTAGATTGGGTACTTTCCACTGATCTATCTTCAACCTCACTTACTTTTTTCTTGACCATCTGTCGTTTAGCTGACCTAGTGAAGTTTTTATTCTAGATATTGTACTTTTTTCAGTTTTCGAATTTCCATTTCTTTGTTTGTATAGTTTCTATTTTTCTGCTAAGATCTCCTATCCATTCCTCTTTAGTCTATTTTCCTTTACTTCATTGAACAGTTATTCCTGCTTTAAAGTCATCCTCATCAAAGAATTCCAAAACATCTGGGTCCTCTTGGGATTGGTTCTATTGATTGTCTTTTCCCTTGAGAACTGGCAACAGTTTTTCTGATTCTTGTTATGCTGAATAATTTCAAAATGTATCCTGTGTATTGTGAGTGCTCTGTTGTGGTGACTGGATACTGGTATATGCCTCCAAAGAGCCCAGATGGCTTTGTTTCAGCAGGCAGTTGACTCGGTGAGGCTCCACTGCAAACTCACTTTCTCTCACCTGTAGTTGCATACTTGTGACCTTAGCTGTAGGCTGCATTCAGTCTGCCCTCCTGCAACACAGTGCTGGGGTCAGCCCTTGTCTTGGGCAGAGCTTATCATGAAATTTTGGACTCCTGTTCTCTGCCTCTCCTTTCTGGGGCCCTGTCCCTTTCTCATGACTGTGGTTGTCCCAGACTACCATCCTCTGGTCTTCAGGCCAGAAAGACAGTGAGTTTTCTGTTGGGGTCTAGCCTCCCGAAACCCTCAGGTTATAGCTGTCTAGACAGAAGACTCAACTTTGTGCTGCCGGCTCCTGCCAACTTGGAATTCTCGTCTAGTCTTCCTGCTCTGGCTCACTTCCTGAGCCTTCAGGTGGTTGCTTATGTTTACTTATTTTTTTGCATTTTGTCCAGAGTTTATAGGTATGATCTGCAGGAGGGGTTGGTCTGTTGGGATTTTACTCCACCAGGGTTTAGTTTGAATCATTTTCTCCTCCTTATGGCCGGCACCGGATTCAGTGTACGCAAATGGCAGGAAAGTCTGTGCTTGGACGAATGGCTGGGTGAACGAATGAACTGCTTTTTACTCTTCCCTCTCTCCTTTCACTCAGCTCGACCCCTTTGAATCCAGTGATCCTTTTTCATCCTCCAGTGTCTCCTCAAAAGGATCAGGTGAGACTGATGACTTATTTTCCTTCTGGCTCTCCCCCCAGCCAGTGGTAAGAGCCCACCCAGTTCCTGCTTCCATTTCCAAAGCTGTGTGTCCTCAGAGTTTATGTCATTAGTCAGTGGCACCCAGATTCTCACCTGAGGTACCTGGGCCAAAGCCAGCTCCCCCTAGCTGCTCATCTTTCCGCAAAGGAAGATCGGCAGTGGGAATTCAGTCAGTAATAACACCAGTGTTCCTGGTTACTCTTTACTCGTTTCTCTGTACAAATCTTTGATTTGTACCTTCAGATCTTTTTCCTAAAAGAATCCGAGATTGACTGAGGGTCCTGTCTTGTGCATTAAGGGAGGGGGGGAGAGTTTGGATTCCCCCTTGCTTTTGGGAACAGGCCCCACTTGCTTCTGCGGCCTTGCCTAGCAGCTCGTGCTTGTTGGCGATAGAGTTTGGGTTCATAGGTGGGTGTAAGGGTTATGCAGGCAAGTTGCCCCACCAAAGGAGAAAACTGCACCCGCAGACAACCTCCCCACATACAAGGTGTGGATGGTGGGTCGCTGCGGACCTGCACCTCCCTCCTTGACCCAGGAGGGTAGTCGGCTGTGCTTCTGCACTTGTCACTCCTTTGCTGACTGTGAACAGCGCTGGTTAGAAGTACCGATACGGGGCACCGTTCCTGTGGCCGTGCCCGAGGCGGCCGTCACGGCGAGAGGCTTCTGGCCGAGCCGCACCAACCACCAGCCAGGGCGGGTTGGGGGCAGGGAGGCTGCATTGAGGGACTGCATCCAGACGCACAGCCCTGGCAAAGCAAATGCTACCTCCTCGGATGTCGCGCGCCGGGGGCTGTTGACCACTGAGAGGCAGTACCTCCCTCTGCCCCCGGAGGTGTGTCCCTTGAATGCCCTGTAACTCTGCCTCTGTTGGTGCTACTTGCAGGTCCCTTTGGAACCTTAGACCCCTTCGGAAGTGGGTCCTTCAATAGTGCTGAGGGCTTTGCCGACTTCAGCCAGATGTCCAAGGTAAACCCCCTCCCACGGAGCACGCGCGCCTCTGCCAGTGTCTTTGTGCCTCTTGCGGTTGTGTCGTGAGCGGCCAAGCGTAATTATTAGCACCACGTATGTATCTCCTGGCACCCGTCAGACGCTGAAACACGTCCTCATATGAGATTGTGAGCCGGCAGGCAAGGTCTAGAAGATGCCTGTGCTTGTGATCAGCTCCATTTCCCTTCCTCGGAGTGGAATTGCCAGGGCCCTGCATCCCTCCACGAGGCATAAGTGTCGTTCCCCCGGGTCCTCCTGGTGTTTGTTAGCTGCCAGATCTCAGGCGGTGGAGCTGTGGCTGCACGGGCTCAGAGAAGGTGTTAGGCACAGAGGGCTCAGGAGGGTCACAGGGGCGGCAGGCCTCATGTGCAGGCAGCTGAGGCTAGAACCGTTGGCTCCAGGCTGGCAGCCGGGAGGCATCCAGAGAAAGTGGGCCAGTTATGTAAGTGGGAGCTGCCCGACACAACCCCAGAAAGGTTTGGAAAGCGAGGGCTAGGTTCCGTGAACAGATATACGGGTGGAAAGGGAGCTGTTCAAGACAGATGACATCCCTGCAGTTGTCGGGCTGGGCAGTATCGGTGTGGCCAGAGTTAGGTGAATATAGTCCCAGGTGGTGTTGGGGCCCTGTTGCGAGGAGGGGTTGGGGGAGGTGTGGCTGGAAAGCTAAGTCTTTAACGTAGCAGGAAGTCGGTCAGTAGAACGTGTCCAAAATGGACAGGTCAAGAAATAACAGTGGAAGCCCATGATTACAGAGGTAATTCCCAGAAGAAACTGCTAAGAAGTCAAAGACGTCGGCCAGGGTGAATGGGAGAGGCAGTGATGTGAGGGTTGCTGGTCTTTGGTATCATCTTTAGCGTCCCCTGCTTTTGAGCATGATTACGTATTTCTTCGATAAGTATTAAAGGAAAGCAATGTTAGGTGTGCCCCATGTTGGCCTCCGGGCCCCGTCTCCAGGATCTCCTTGTGCTCCGCTGCTTCTTGGCCGCCCCTCAGGCAGGTGAGGGTCTTGTGGGGCACAGCCTGTGGCCAGAGTCATGCTTTCTTCACTCATTCCACTGACCTGCAGTATCCACCTGCTCTAGCCCAGGTACCATCGGCATGGGGCGGGGGTGGCCACAGGCAGGAAACAGTCCCCATCCCTGATTTCACCTCCTGTTGGGGAGGCTCAGAAGCCAGATGGTGGAGAGGGAGCTGGGGAGGGAGTCTCTGGAGCATGTGGGAGCCGAGCCTCCGCAACAAGGAGTCACTTCCTGACCCCGCCGGCCCCTGCTGGGTACCCCTGCCGTGCCAGCTCCTTGGGGCGTCCTGCCTGCTGGTTCCATGCTCACTCAGCCTGATGGGCACACGCTTGTCTGAGCACTGAGCACTTGTGGTGAACCCGTGTGTGATTGTGGCGCTCACAGCTTTTGAGATTCTGTTTAGGTTTTCAAAGAAGCACGTGAGCATACATTGTCAAGGTAGCAAATCCAGCTTCTGGCCAGAGAGAGAATGTTTGCCGGTCAGCTGTCGCGGGAGGGAGCCCAGAGGTGCTGGTGTAGCCGCCTCTTTCGTTCCGGTGCCTGGAGGGAACGAGCCTCACTCCCCCGTATGGAAACGCCGTGACACTGCACTGCTGGCCAGGATGCTGTCTGGGCTTGGCCAGAAGGCGCCAGGGCAGGAGGTCTGCTCGAATGTTTGCCTGTCGCTTGGTGGCTGTTACACATGTCCCTGCTCCTCGAGAATGGAGCTGTGCATCCTCTGCTTCCGTCCCTGCTTAGCAGGCAGGAAATCAACTCCTGAAATCAGAGAACTTGTGCCACACGGTGGCAGCAGTCCCCAAAGGAAGGGGTCTGCATTGTGCTCTTGAGCCAGGAGACCGGGGGCCCACTCCCCCCGCCCCTCTCCCTTGGGGAGGCTGGCCCCAGCGGCCGAGCAGGGGAGAGTGGGGGAGAGCTCCCAGGGGCTGGGGCTGAGACCAGGTTGAGAGGTGCGCTGGTAGAGGCTGCCTGGGCTGGTGGAGGGCTGCTCAGGGCGGCCAGTCTGGAGGGGCTCCGGACAGCGGAATGGCCGCCCCTCTCCCTTCCAGGCCGTCTCTGCGTGTCCTGGGGCTGCAGAGACTCCCCAGAGCCGGGCAGTTCAGAGCCTGGCCCTGCCTGTCTTCCTGCCTGTCCTAACCGAACATGGCGTTTTCCCTCTGATTCGGCTTCCCTCTCCTTGTCCGCGTGTCTCTCGATCAGGCTGCACACACACGTGCGCTTGTGACTTCAGAGCCGGTGGCCCCTTCCTGTTCGTGGCCCCGGGCGGGATGGAGCTGGACGGGGCCGTGGAAAATTTGTCTCCGGCGCTTCTTTGTTTGGTTTCCACGCTCCTGTCAGCGCCTGATGTCGTGCCACTTGTCCAGCGGAACACCGAGCCCTAACCTTGTAGGTCTCTGTTTTTCCCTTTGGTTCCCTTTCTGTTTTTCAAGAAAAACATCATGTGTATAAATAAAATGCTGAAGGAAATGAAAGTAAAGCGGCAAGAGGCTTTTTTTTTTTTTTTTTTTGGCTTCTTGGTTTTATGTTTTTGTGTGTGTGTGTTTTTTACATCGCCAGCTTTTCCCCATCTGAGTGGGGTGGCAAGGTGATGCACACTGGTGCCCTTTCTTAACTCCACCCTAAATTGAGGTGTCCTCCTCTGCCTGGCGGTGCTGAGTGAAGTTGACAGCCAGCGAGCTGGTTCCAGCAGATTCCTTCAGAAGATTCTTCAGGCTTGCACTCGAAGTGGAGGTCCCCCCATACCTGCAGATATTTTTTTTAGACCCTGTCAACCCTTCACCTTGCTTTAAGAACAAATTCTGAGCATTTGAGAATAAAAACAAGACTCAAACATAATTATTTCACCCCTGCCCCATGAAAAAAAAAGCTGTCCCGGCAGTCCTTGGCTGGTTGTCAGGGCCTTTCCAGTCGTTTCTCCAGTGGTGTTTAAAGCTATGCATTCCCATTTAGGGTTGTTTCTTAAAAGTTGAGAGTCATTTGCTTTAAACAAGCTCTTTAAACTGTGAACCCCAAATGTGTTCCTCTTAGAGCTGCTTTTTATAGTGGCTTTTCTCTTTTTTTTCTTTCTGAGCACACTTCATGCTGTGCCAGCCCAGAGAGCCCCTGCCGGCTTTACTGAAACCCTTCTAAAAATAGCCACTTTCCCTGAAGCTGCAGCCTGAGGAGGGACGAGTCGGGTCCCAGAGGAGGCCTCTTGGGAAACCTGGAGTCATGAAAAGTGGGATTCGGAAATGACGCGGCCTTGGCAGTGTTAGAAGGGCTACAGCTCATGATCGCGGGGGGAGTGGCCTTTATGGTGGGAGCCCACCGGCTCAGTGGCTTTGAACACAAGAGGGGGGCGGAGAGTCAGCCTGGCTGCCGACAGTCCTTACGGCTCGTGGTCCGGGCTGCAGCACCTGGGATAGGTGGACGCTCAGTGGGGTGTGTCCAGAGGGCTCCAGGCGCCACTCTGCACCCCTTCCCCCGAGCTGGTGCATTCCCGACCCCCGAGACAAAGACTGGGGTCCTTGGGGCGGGTGGCCTTTGGGCTGGTCACGCCTCCTCTCGACTAAGAAATTGGTTTTGATTCCTGCCTGCTTGTCTCGGGTTGTGCGGGAATCGCGTGAGCCCATGTTCTGGGCCGTGAATGGCAGAGGCAGAAGCAGAACCTTTGCCCACTCCCCTGCCCCCGTTCTTCTTCCCCAAACCGCAGACCCTCAGCCACCATTTTAAAGCTAAGCTGTGGCTCAACACTTTGCCTCTGCTCCCATGCGGTCTCCCTCTGGGGTAGTCTGTGGCTAACAGCCAGCAGCAGGAATGAAAGATTGGGAGCTGACGGGGCGTCTGCAGATTTTCACAGGCATCTAAAGGAGTTCCGGTCACGTCCACATCCTTGGCATGATAATAATCGTGCCATCTTTGCGCCGTGTTGTGGGGGTGCCTGCTGGAGCAATTTACACATAGACTTGATCGCAGTTGCGGTTCACGCTGCGGCAGCCCTAGGGCTGCGGTGTGCGGTGCTCACGGTCCTGTCACAGATGAGGAGGCGGAGGCATGGAGCGGTTTGTAGTGGCGGGGCTGGGGCTCCAGACCCTAACCCTGACCCCTGTGCTCTGTAGCCTGGCCAGGCAGAGATTCCAGAAACTGGAGCTGCGGGATTTTCAGAGACTCCCTGAATCTTGTACCTAAAAGGACAAGTGTCCACAGAGCCCCGAAGAGGGGAGCAGCAGCTGTGGGGGGCGGCGCCTCCTTGCCCTCCCACAGTCCCACCAGCCCCAGCTGCCCCTCTTGCTCAGAGCTTCCTGGGGGGGCCAGCATGGGCTTAGTAGGGAAATGAGCCTTGCTCTTTTGACCCCCGTCGTCCTCGGGGCTTTCTCTGGCCCGCTGACCCCTTGGCCTGCTCTGCCTGGAACAAGGCCCCAGACCTACTTCGAGGGGTGGGCTGCCAGCCGCGGAGGGCAGGGCCCAGGAGCCCTGGCCCTGGAGGCAGACAGTGTGTGTTCCTACCCTGACTCCACCACTGAGGTGCTGTAGGACTGCAGGCTGCATCCCCTCTCCGTGCCTCAGTTTCCCTATGTGTAAAATGGAAGGGGTTGTTGGGAAGTGAGGTGAGGTCATTAGCACAGAGCCAGCATCCTACCCTAGAGGTCCTGGGAGCTGGTAGAGGGGAACCAGGGTGCCCAGTGGGATGCCCAGCAGCCTCTCCAGGCCCCCTCCCTCTCACTGTGGGCTGGCCACCTCTTCCCTACCTGAGACTAGTATCCATGGCTATACCCGAGGCAGAGGTTGCCACATCCATGTCCCTGTGACCAGATCCCAGAGGAGGGGGGACCTGAGCTGGCCCATCTGTGGCTCGTCTGTCTGCCAGTCAGGGTTTGTCGTGCCCAGCACTGTGCTGGCATTCAGGGTAGGGGACGCCCACGGAGACAGTCACAGCCCGCCACAGGCCCAGCCAGGAGACGTGCTGCCCCATCACCTGCACCCACTCGCAGCAGACGACGGCCAGGTGCGGGGCACGTGCTTACCCATGGTGACGTGTGTCCTGTGGAGTCCCACCGATGTCAAGCGGGCACAGTTGGTAGGAAGGGGTGTCAGAGAGAGCTCTAGGGACGGCAGTGGAATCTGGTTTGGTTAGTCTCTGAGGAAAAGAAGGGCTTGGGGTCGATGGGGTGGACTGAGCTCCCCAGCTGGAGACCCTGTGCCCTGAGACCGGGCTGCAAGGGGTTCAAGGGACTGGGGAATTGTCAAGGGGGTGGGGCCAGCTGCAGAGATGAGGTGGAAGAATTGGATGGTGGGGGGCTGTAATGAAGGCCCCATGTGCCTTGAAGAGTGCTCCGAGGTTAGCTGTGGGCACTGGGGCCGTTGAGTGCTATGTACCAACCTGTCCTCTACCCACACACCCACCTGTGCGTCTCTCTCTCGCTGGGATCACATGGTCCCATCTGCACTTGAGATGGGGCCGGGTGGGAGCAGGGGTGGAAGGTCCGGGCTGGAGGAGCCTGACGGAGGCGGCCAAGGCTGTGCCAGCAGGAGTGGGGGTGGGCTCCAGCCTGAGTCACTGTGTAGGCAGCAGCACCCATGGGCCACGTGGGGGTGAGGAGGTGGTCTGTGGCTGTTCTGACCCAGTGCCGAGAACTGCCTGTCACTGCCCGGAGGCAGTAGCCACGCAGGCCGGTGCTCAGCCCGGAGGTGGCACACAGAGGGGTCTGCGGACAGCATGAGGGTGAGGGTGGGGCCCATCTCTGACGCAAGGAGACCCAGGGGACCCTGGGGTCAGGAAAGACTTGATATCCTTGCCTGGGTAGAACGGCGTGTGTGGCAGGGGACACCCCTCGCGTGACAGAAGCCTGTCGAGGCACAGGGCGGCTCTCGCCTGCTCTGCGTGTGCTGGCCTGCCCCTCACAGGCCAGAGGACCCTGGCTGTTGAGGGTGGAGGAAAGCAGGCGTCTCGTGAGAGACCCGGGTCCCCGTGGGGGCCATGCCGCGGACCCCAGAGGGTTGGGGGCCTCACTGAGGCTCTCGGTACTTGAGCAGTGGCTGAATGGACATCCGTTGCCTCCATTTTAACGATTATTTTTGCCTCTCTTTCGTGTCCTCTTTTACAGCCCCCAACTTCTGGTCCTTTCACCTCCTCCTTTGGAGGGGCAGGATTCTCAGATGACCCCTTTAAAAGTAAACAGGACACTCCCGCTCTGCCTCCGAAGAAACCTGCTCCTCCACGGCCTAAACCGCCCAGCGGTCAGTACGCTTTCTTCTCTCGCAGCCGCCCGCCCTCCGTCAAAGGACGGCGGGGGGAGGGGGACCGAGGGCTTCTCTGGTCACCGGCCCCGAGTGGAGCAGATGCCAGGGGGGCCCGCACTCGGAGCAAGAGGGTCTCCCGACTGCTTAGTGACCTGGGTCCTCACATGGTGTGTGCCTGGGGCACGCCTCCCTTCCCACCCACCCTCACCCCGTCCTCGGGGCCCCTTGGCTCCAGGCTTAGTGGGGGCCCCCGGGGTGGTCTCCAGAAGGCCCAGGGCTCAGCCCTTGTGGTGGTGAGAGCTGCCGCATGGCCGTGGGCGGGGTGTGTAATCAGGACCCCGTGGCCCTTCTGGCCTCCCCCCAACCCGAGCTCTTTCCCAAGTTGGCTGAGGCCACCCCCTCAATCTGGCGCCTCCCTACTGGGTAAGGACTCAGAGTGGGGTTGGGAGTGGGGGTCTTCTTTGGCCGTGTTTGATGCAGGAGGAGGCAGATGGCTCTGGGCTCCCTTCTGCTTGGCTCCTGCCGGCTCTCTCTCCGGACGGCTCCGAGCAGGGGCTTCCTGCAGACCTCACCTCTCCTGGCTCTGGCTGGCGCTGCCAGTCTCTCTGGATCTTGGCCCTGGGGCCCTCCTCTCAGGAGAGGGCCCAGGTGTCCCCCTGAGGATGCTGAGGACTTTGAGCTTGTGCGGGGGCTCTCTCTCCTATGATGGCCATAGGCCGACAGGCCGGGTTGCCAGACTCAAAAGGAGAAAGCTGTTGCTTTAAGTGGCAGCAGGATTCACCACAATTTCCCAGCCCCTTTATCCACCCCTGCTCACTGTTTTCTTGGTGCCCCGGCTCCAGACAGTCTCACCTGTGCTGTTTCAAGACTAGGGGTGGCCACGGGAGACCCACATGCTCTCTTGAAACCTTGGTCCCGCCTGAGCTAGCTTCTGCCCTTCAGTCGGCCTGGGGCTCCACTTGGTGGCCCGTGGAACTCTCTAGTTACAGGTGGTCATGGGTCGTAGGTCCTGCGGTCATCCTACACGAGGTCCACCTGTCGAGGTCCTCCTCTTAGTAGAGAGGCTGCCTGCCCTGTCCTGTCGCCTGGGCCAGCTGGGGCTTTCTTTCAGGAGGATGGAAGCCCTGTCCTCAGTGCCCACTTTGGCGGCTCTAAGGGGACACCCCGGGCAGTCTCCTAGTGGAAGGCCATCAGGCCTCCACACTCCACCTGAAAGATGGGGGCCAAAGCATGCACGCATGCGCCTGCATACACACGTACACACGTGGCATGGGCTCATGCTTATTTGCATACGTGTGAGCACACGTGCTCATGCACTGCCCACCTGTGCAGATGCGGGTATGCACATGTGCACACCTTTCCATGCTCCCTCGCAGGTACACGTGCTCATAGCGCTTGCATGCACCTGTGCACACTGCACGTGTCCACACGTGTACCTTCCCGTGTGAAGGTACACACACACGCACACGCACACAGACGGAGCGATGCAGTAATCGTCAGGCTTTTCAAGGAGGTACTCCAACTCCGGCTAGCAGGTGCAGAATGTCATGCTCAGGGTTTCTTGGAAACTCTTATTTTAGCCTCTTCCCCTTCCTTGAACCAGTGCTGGGTCCACTTCTGAACTTACCCTTCGCTGTCCCCTCTCCCTTGTATTGCCCTCCGCAAGCCTCCCTGCCCCATCTCGGCTGCGGCTTTCAGCGTATCACAGACTTACAAAGCAGAGAAGCCATCCCCGTTTGGGGAGGCTTGGGCCTGTACCCTGGGCAGTCTCAGGCAGCTTTTGCTCTTGGCTTTGGGCCACTGCACCCTTACTCTGCCATGGCCGCTGAGGTGCCAGGTGCCTCAACTCTCCTCGTCACATCCATGGACCCGTAGGATTACGTAGCCAGGTCCTAGTAAGAGCCACAAGAGGACAGGCACCGTGATGCTCTCTTTGCAGAAGAGGAAAGGGAAGTGAGAAAGGTCGGGTGGGCCACCCACTGTCACACAGCAGAGGCAGCAGGGCCAGCGCTGGACCTCTCCACACCCATCTACAGCTGTAATGAGAATCAAACCATGAGGTTCAGAGTTCTCACAGGTTCTGGAGGACGGTGGGTGCATGTGCAGCGTGTCATCTGTAAGCGGCCACGACACACCTGCGTTGAGGTCTAAATGTCTCTCGTCTGATTCTCTTACCTAGAAGCAATGGCTGATCAGAAAAACTCTGCGCTGTACACACTGCTGGGTGGTAGGTACAGACCGTGTGGCTATTACCGTTTGAGCAGCTTCCGGTGGTGGCTCTGCTGTGATTTCGTACTAACCTCTAACAACGTGGAAATGCTGGCCATGCAGATGTACCTCACGCGTGATGTCTGACCCAGCAGTTGACCTCTTAATGAGTTGCATCTGGGGGGAAGTGTTCAGTTCTTTGGGGGATGCAAAGGACCGTTCTGCCCCACCCTGCCGCTCTGATGGAGGGAATCAAGGCCCAGCTGCGCACACTGCCCTCCCCCTCCGTGTCCACGCTGCACAGAGCGAGACTCCTTGGGCCCCAGAGCAGCCCGGGAGTTAGCTGGTTATTAGCAGGACGGGTCAGCAGGTGAGCGCTGGAGGAAGTCCTGCTCAAGGCGGTCTTTATGAAAACACAAGGCACAACTCTTGTTCTCTTGGCTGCTTAAGATAGGAAGCAGCCAGGCATGGATGTCCAAGTTGTGTTCTGTTGTTTTTGTTTTTTAAGAAAACAAAATCCAACAGTTTGAAAGTGAGGGAATAGATTGTGCTTCTCTGCCCTTCTCACTTAACCTGGCCTTTTCCCGCGTGGAGAGGCCCCGTGGCCAGCCTGCCGTGGTGGCCGTCACCACCTGGGATTGCCACGTGATCACACTCAAGGGCCTGCCCAGCATGCAGAGGGAGCTGCGGCCACAGCGTGGCTGAGTGGGGACAAGGCAAAGTGGGTACTCTGCTGCCGGGGGCCCCCCACAACTCTGGTGATGGAGCTGTGATTCCGTAGAGATCCCACGTGGATGGTCCAGACTGCCTGGTGGTAACAGGTTTTTTTTCCCCGTAGTCTCTAGAACCCTGCCAGGTCTCTGCGCCTGGAGGTGGCTCTGATATGTGAGGCCACTAGAATCCAGGAAGGCTTAGTCCACGTTTCTGGACATTGGAGCCAGGGCCTGGGTTTATGTTCTGGCTCTGTCACCATCTCCTTGAAGGGCTCTAGGCAAGTGTCTCAACCTCATCAAGCTCGGTTTCCCTGACTGAACATGGGACCAACTCTGGCTTAGCAGGTGGGCGTGTGGGCAAGGTGCCTCGCACAGTGATTACTCGTGGTGTGATGTGTGTGACATGTGTCTGCATCCCGTCCCCAGGGTACCGGGACCAGGACACGGGTCCTCCTTCCACAAGCTCCTTTCCCAGGGGCAGACAGGCTGGGTCTGAGGCAGCCATATGCATGCAGGGAGTCACCAAGGGACCCTTTTCCCCACGAGGTTGCAGTTTGGCAGAAATCTTTGCAGTTGAAAAAGTCAGAGATGGGTAGTTGAACTTCAAAGAGGGCTCCAGGGCCCTCGCTGGCGAAGCTCAGCTGTGGTCGCTTGTCCGGGACCAAATGCACGTTTGGGTCTGAGTCATGCATGGTTTTTAGGTACCACCTCTGGTACGCTACAGCTTGCAGTTTTCACATTCTGTGGGAGCTGTTTTTGTTTGTTTTTGAAAACGTGACTGAGGTTTACTTGACATGCGATAAACTCCCGTGTGTAAGCGTCAGCACGTGCGGTCACGGCGGGGGACCCTTCCCCCGGGAGCCTCAGCGAGGTTCCCTGTTGAACGAGTTCTGGCATCGTGCGTGTTTGACTAGAGCAGCCCACGGCTGGCCATCTGTTTCTAGTGCTAAACATGGAGTTCTCTCTTGACCCGAGCTGGAAAGCGTACCCTCAGGGACCGTCAAGAACCCCCATCTGGGGGCACACCCTGAGCTTCAGTGTCCGCACTGCGTCCTCTGTGCTCAGAGCTCTTTTCTAGAAAGGTCTGTCAAGGTATTCGGTCACCAGCAGGTGCCTGTTTGGGGTAGAGAGAATTGGTTTCTTTCAGGCAGATGCAAAACAGACCCCACTCGCAGCCTCCGAAACCTGTCAGTTAAAGCTGGCACTCACACACCTCCCCCAGGTAAACAATGGTGTATTTTCTGCAACGGATCAGAGACCGAGATCAGTCAGAACTCACCGCTAAAGAGTTTCTAGGTAAAAGTTGTTGATTTGCAAAGGGAGAAACAGATTTTTTTTAAGGGCAGGAAATGGCTGTGTGGGTGTCAGTGATTGGGCCTCCGCACCCCGGCGACAGATAGCGGGATCCTGCGCCCGGCCCCACCCTTGCCACTTCCTGCAAGTGCAGCCCTGGTTCGGGCCCTGCAGCGCCTGGGTGACACCAGCCAGCGGGCCTTCACCGCTAACCAGCCAGTCACCTTTAACCTCTCCGCAATTTATTACCCTTTTATTACTGCTAATGACCTTTTCACCTCCAGAATAAAGCCGTGCACATGCCTGGGGTGTCTTTTTTGCCCCCTGCCCCCTCCCCTCAATTTTTCCAACGAACACAGGAAAATGAGATAGCACTTAATCTGTGTCCTGTTTGAGTCAAATGATTTTCAGAAAACAAGAAGTCCTGTCTCCCCTAGAACGTGAGTCCCCTCCCACACCCGCGTGTGGACGCGTGCAGGGTGACTGCGGCTTCTTGCTTCGGGCGGTTTGCTGGCTGCCGCCCACCCACAGACCAGCACGCTCGCCGGCTGGTCAGCCTGCCCGTCATAGGGGAGCCGCCCCGTGGGACTTTGGGCGCGGAGGGAGCCCCACATTCCCCCGCGGCTCCAGCCCGTGTTCGCGCTCGGCTCTCCCCGTGCTCTGAAGGGCCAGGCTGAGGGTGAGACCGGGGTGGCCATCGTTCGCCTGTGTGGGTCCCGACCTCTTGTTTGTTGCTCAAGATCCACTTTTAAAATGGCTTCTCCAGTTGAGCCGTGCGGTTAG